CCACAGAATTGGACAGTTTCATTAGAACCTCTCATGAAACCAGGATGAGGGCCCATGCCTTTGAGGATGCAGCAGACAATTTTTTTTCTCAACCTGGTTTTGCGGTACCCATTCCACAATTTCTTTGGAGGCATTGCACCCTACTTCACGAAGGGCTGGGATTTCTTCCACGAGGAATTACCTAAAAAGTTGCTTGCCCAAAATACGCTCTGATGCTCTCAAAAAGGATGATGGAATACCTCAGATTCCTTTGTCTTATTTACCATGGCACTCCAGATGAAGTGGTTCCCTTCCCAGGAGCTGAACGTTTGTATGACAACTACTGTGAATGGGGGATTGGCTCCTTGGAGTTTGCCCGAGTCGACATCCACGGGGCATCTTGCTGAAGTGGCCGAAGGAAGTGGCGCAGCGATAAAATGGCTCCAAGACCCGTTACGAAGGCGTCGCTCCAGTTAGTGGATGTAGTAGGACTGTCCGTAAAAACCAATCTTGAATACCCAGGAGCGGACAACTCCTACTATGAAATCTTCAGAACAGTGATTTCCCACTTTTGTTTGGGGTCAGAATGTTTGGCTCTTTGGCCCGAAATGTAACTACTCCGAGAGTAACTTCAACCAAGCTTCTTACCTTGTCCGGTTGGTCGTGAACGCTCTCGGAAACGTTCCATTACGTTAACGAAGTTGGATTTCTTTAGCCTTTTTCCCTTTTTTTTATTTTTCTAAGTTTTGCCTTTCCTCTTTTCAAGTGACGGTGTTTTTTACTAAAATTTACGTAAGTGATATTTTTCGAATATATGATTGACTTCGCGTCTGCCCGTTAGCTTCCATTTATTTTGATTTCGCAGCCAAATTGCGAAAAGTTGTGAAAAGACGTATACTTGTCCAAAACAAACACATAAAACTGAATTAAAACCTACTCCTACCTTTTCATTTTGTTCTTCACATGCCACGTTTCAGAAATTTTCAATTGTTAGGGGCTTCTCAAGCTCACCATTCCCAACCAAAGGACTGGACACATTATCGTCTTCGGGAATTGAAGCTGTTAGTTGTAACTGATAACACGGCGGGTGTAACAATTTCGGTCGTATCTCAAGGAAGACCAATAGTAAGTGATAAACGACTATTTCTACTTTTAAAATCTCAAATACTAAGACATGGGACCTAACGTACATTTCTTCTTCAAATGTAAAATTCCTCACCAAGGACCTCATAGTCAGGTTTGAAGATCTTTGAAGGAAATAATTTGAAAAAGACCTCTCGGTTGCAGATCACTTTTGAATCAGAAGGAAACTACAACCTTTTTGTGAACAAGATCAATCAGTGGCTTGGGATTAGGATTGGTCCAGTCTCTTCATTCTTCACAAAACGATTCGACTTTGGACCTTACGCATGCCAAGACTGGTGGCGTTTACAACCCAAGAGGTTCAAGATGAATTCAGTCAAGATTTGTCTCAGTGCCTCACTCAAACTCTGAATGTGTTTTCTCAGAATATTTATCAAGGTGTTCTTGATGATTCTCAAGACACCGTGACCAGCATGTCTCAATGCAAAATTCCAAACTACACATACGCATACTTTCTCAAACACCCACGCTAACTCAAAATGAGCCTCCGGCTTTCATATCCAACACATTTTGACTCATTATCATTTACTTCTAGGGAGCAAGCTCAGAACATTCGGGGATGCGCTGTTTTTCAAATCCAGATACCTCCTGCTATATTCTCAATCTACTTCTGATCATGCAACCATGTCAAGAATCCAATACTGAGCTATGAAAGCACCCCCTCAGGCAACTGAAAATCTTATGAGTGTTTTGAAGGATATTCCATTTGGAAACCTGAATATTCCAAAGCGTAAAAAGTCATATCGAAATAAGAAGAAAGAGAGAGAGGTTGAAACGGTCGAAAAAGTTTTGAAGAGTGCACTTCATGACATATTGCATAACAGAAAAGATTTCTACGATGACTTGTCAGACGAACAGCTTGCACTTAAAGTGGCCAAAAAATTGAAGAGTAAGTCATTTTCACGATTATTAAAGCGTATAGAAAACCTCCTACCGGAGCTCAAACTGGAGTAATATTGATAAGATGAGAAAATCTATAAGAATCTATTAATCTTCACCCACTGTTTAACAATCAAGCCATCTTCGTGCCTAATGTCCTCCGCCAAAAGGCTGTAATGCCCAAAATAAGGTCCTGCAACAAACATAAGGAACCAGTAAACCACACACAGAGCCAAAACAGCCAACCCAAGGTAGGGATAAGGGAATCCACGACTCTAATCCAGTTGGGTTTGCATTACCACCAAAGCGGCGTTAAAAGAAGGTATGTGGAAATGATGATGAGTATTATTGTTCCACAAACAGTTGACCGTATTGGGGCCACCACATGTGGATACCTTCGTCTCAATATGAAGACTCCAAAAGCGCATAGGAGAACAAAAATTTGCTGAGGATAACTTTCCAAACTCACCACATAGTTGTACACGTCTCCGCCCGGTGAAAAGACTACAACCATTGTGGATAACAAGCAGCTCAATAAGAGTGCTGGTAACGGAGCATCATATGGCCAGTTGGACGCCATAAACAGAGAAAATGGCAAGTAACCCGTCACGAAAAACCTCCTGACTAGTACGCGAGATGGTGTATAAGACAACAAATACCATTGCCCCCGGTACAGAGAGCGGGACGACAAGGTTTAGGAACTGGCGTCCAAAACGGCGACCAAAAACAGTTTCGAACAATACAGCGCCAACTAATTGGCCGCTTGATGCGAGCTCCGAATCTGGAATGACCACTAAAATAAGTGATGTTGATCACGACATATGTGATTGTAATGATACCTAACGAAACAGGACCGGCAATCTTAAGTGTCCTGACGGGGTCAATTATTTCATTTGATACGGTGTGAATCGAATTCCATCCTCCATATGCAAATGTGCCTTTGATCACTGCACTCGCAAAAGATGAAAGAGTAATCGAAGTTTTAACGGGATAAAAGTTCCCATATGATAGCTGTGGCTCGATATGTGTGATGGAGCTGGGAAAGAAAACCACCCAAATACCTGTACCAACTATGAGAGCTGCCAATAATAACTTTAGGAACCCGATAAAGTTTTGTACTTTCACACCATGGCGCACACTGAAGCCATGGATACAACATGTAACATACAAAAATATGAGACCCATACCTCTAACTCTAAAGTCTGTTGGTGAAATATTGAATGCGTGCAAAATGTATTCTCCAAAAACAATGATGTTCAGAATGGTAAAGCCTGAAACCACAGAGTATAGCGAAACGGTTACGCTCATCAACATATATGGTTTTCCATAAATGCACTCGAGAAATACTTTCGTTCCGCCTGACCTCGGAATCAAAGAGCCTAACTCAAGATATACATACATTCCCGAGTAGGCAACTGTCGCTGCCACAAACCAGGAAAGAAGGAAATAAAAAGGAGATTGCCCGCAATCTGTGTACATTCCGCTTGATATTGCTAAGAAACCTGATCCAAGGATTCTGCTGACAAACAATATGATAGTGGAATAAATCCCCAAGTGTCGACCCTGAGGGGCATCCTCAGGATCTTGAAGATATATGATTTCACCTTCATTGGAAAGAAGGCTGAGTGTTGATCCGCTCAGTTCCAAGTCATCTGTTTCAGATGTCACAGTTACTTTCTGTGAAGGTTTTTTATAAGCCATAAGGAATTTGGCAGAAAACACAACTGTTTTTCGGAAACAAAATGGGATCGAGAGTGTGGCTTACAACAGGAGTGCAGGCACTGTGGATGTGCGTTATCTCGATTTGACATGTTTCGCTCCCAGTGTTATCTACAGGCATACAAAGTAAGGCTCTGAATTAGTCTAACTACATAGCTAAAACCGAAAATTAATGCATCTGCCCCTTAAATATTGTGATTCTTCTTTCTCACGAATGCTTCCTTAGCGAGCTTAGTAAGCGTGTCTAATTCACCACTGTTCTCGCACATGCTATGGAACAAAGACTCACTGTTGGCAATCAATGTGTATGGATCGTCATACTCAACAACACGACCAGCATCCATAACCAAAATCTTGTCATAGTCAATGATAGACCTCAATCTGTGTGCAATAGTCAAGATTGTTGACAGAGAAAACTCGTCTCTAATAGTTTGCTGGATCAATGCGTCCGATTTGTAATCAATAGAAGCTGTGGCTTCATCAAGCAAAATAACCTTAGGGGACTTGAGCAAAGATCTTGCGAGACACATTAATTGCCTTTGACCTTGCGACAAATTGTTTCCTCCTTCAGTGATGACAGACTCAATGTCTAAAAACTTGTTCTGGTTATCTCCTCCGGAAGTCAGCGATTCTCTTTCACCAGGAGAAATCAAGTTGACTCTAGTTAAAGCTTCAAAGATTTGCAGATCGGTGTACTGGTTGAAAGGGTCCAAATTCGAACGAATTGTTCCGCTGAACAAAGTAGGGTCTTGGGGAATGATAGTAATTGCTTGACGCAAGTTGCGCAAACCAATCTTAGAAATATCAACACCATCAATACTGATGGTTCCCGTTTCAGGATCCAAGAATCTAAAGAGTGCAGTGATGATCGTAGACTTACCTGCACCCGTACGACCAACAATACCAATCTTGTTACAGGAATCAACATGGAAGGTCACGTTCTTAATGACCCGAGGCAAATGTGGAGCATATCTTAATGTCACATTCTCCATGTCAATTTCACCATGTTCTGGCCATGTTGGTCTAGGCTCAGTCTCAGGGATTTCGGATGGTGGCTCTTGTTCAATTTCCAAAAACTCTTGCAACCTTTCCACTGAATTCATGTTCATTTCAATATTGGCATAGAGTCTAACAATCCATAAGGCACTTTCAGAGAATGAAATAGCGTAAGATAATGACAAACCTGCCAATCCAGCATCGATCTTCCCAATGGAAAGAAGAACGAAAACACCTGAAAGGAACATAACCATAGATCCCACAGCATCTGTACGCCATGACAACCATCTATTTGCCACCCACATGTAGAAAAATGGTTTGTTATTATTGTCGATTGCAGTCAAGTTCTGTTTCATGAACCTGGTTTCAACACCGTATGCTCTAATTGTGGCCACGCCGACTAAAGATTCAGAAAAGTGTTGGTGGATAGGAGACTTTGTAATGGAGTCGTATCTCTTTCAATTCTCTCGAAAGAGTGATGTAGTAGGACCCGACCAAGAAATATAAATAGGCGATCAAAATAGCAAAGACCAAGAATCCAGGGGTAATAAAGGTGATAAGACCTAAAACGGACACACATGTGACAAAACATGCAAAGACACCTTCAGCGACAGGTGTCAATTCCTGATCCACAGACTCGATATCCTTCGAAAACCTGTTCATAATACGGCCAAGAGGTGTCTTGTCAAAGAATCTCAATCTGGCGCTCAAAACCTTGGTCAAAACGCGTTTGAAGATTCTATTCGAGGCTCTGATACCAGCAAAGAATGTTAAAAGAACTCTAAATGTGGCAACAAAGGCATAGGTTATACCAATCGCCGCATAAATAATGATGTAGTACATGACCTCATGCTTTTTCTTGAGTTCAGTCACAGCCTCAGAAACAGTTGCAGTAGCAGAAACAACGGAGCCCAAAACAAGATGGGCAGAAGAGAGAACAGAGTTGTAAATGTTGAAAACAGTCTGATCATTGTTTACGGCCGAAATTCCCATGACATTTACGCCGCTTGGGGTATTTTCTTGAGCCCATTTCTTCAACCACCACGATTGCAAAATGTAAATCGCTTGTGGTAAAATGAAAATCGCAAAAATAAATGTCCACATGGTCCATCCGCCAAATTCCTTCGCATAATCGATGTAAACCTTGGAGTCCACAATACCTTCAGACTTGCTTTCCTCTTCAACCAACTTTCCGTCGGTCTGTACATCTTCATCATGGTCGTCGCCGGCCAATTTCTGTAACTTGTCTTCGATTGCGGCAGCCTTGGCCTTCATCAGTGAGTTCTTGGATTCCAAACTTTGCAAGTTCACACTCGATTGACTCCGCGAGTTCATCACAGAGCTTTGCACCATATCGTCATCACCTAAATGACCATCACGGCAACAAATTCTTCAGGTAAACCTTGCGCTTGGACAACACCGTTGTTCATTACAACAATCCACTCGGGGCTTTCTGAACAGTCAATGCCACATTATGCGACACCTAAAATACAGGTTCTGTTTGCCATCAAAGGTCCCGAAATGCAGGTTTTCATAAATCCATAACGCAGTATGCGAGTCCACAGCGGATAAAACAGTCGTCCAACAAACAAGTGTCTCGAGTTGGAGTACAAAGCTCTGGCCAAAGACACTCTTTGTTTCTGGCCACCAGACAAGGCAATACCCTTTTCACCAATCTCTGTTCGATCACCAGCAGTCAATATTTCAAGGTCACGAGTCAAACCACAAGCTTCGACAACTTTATCGTAACGATCTTGATTAAATGGGGTCGCAAAAGTAATATTGTTTCTAATGGTATCATTCAACAACCAGGCTGACTGAGAACAGTAAGCAACAGATTCTGTCAAGCCAGTTCTGGGGTCAACAACTAAATCATCTCTAGGAATAATTCCAGGTAAGAAAACCTTTCCAGAAGTCAAGTCCATTTCACCTAAAAGTGCCAAAAGCAAGGAAGTTTTTCCCGATCCCGTAGGTCCAATCACGATGTTTAACTTGCCAGGCTTGAAAGCAATGTTTAAATTCTTCAACTTGAAATCTTTGTCTGATGACGAGTTCCACGAGAATGAGGCGTTTTCAAAGCCGACAATTGGAGATGAAGGTGAGCGTTCCACGCACAACTGATCATACTTCGATGTTTCGGCCTCCTCCAACGAAGTCACTAACACGGTCAAGCGAGACCTTCGATTGAATCACAACAGCAATCATATCAGCCAATTGGTCCAAAGGTGATCTCAACAAGGTAAACAAAGACAACGCTGTAAAGGCAATAGAAGCAGTCAATTCATTGCCTTGGATAACAGTATAACAGTAAAAGGAAATCACTGTTACCAAAGTAGGAACGAAAAACCAAAGGAAAGTTTGGGCCACCCACAAAATAGTTCTGAGCCGCAAATAGTGCAATTCCTCGCGCCTGATATTCATAATGTCACGGAAGAAATTGTCCTCCCAAGCGAAAAACTTAATGATCCGGATGCTCAGGAAAGTCTCATTCATTTTCTGGATACGCTTATCGGTAGTACCTAACATGACCTTTTGCACATCTGCAGACCAACGAGAAAACATCACGTTCATGGGCAATAAAACAATGATAGCGGCACCACCAGCTAAAGCACTCCATCCTAACAATGCGTATAACAAACCAATACAGAAAACAAGCATCAAGATGGAGCCAACGAAAAAGTGCAAATAACCGCAAATTTCGGAAACTTTGAATGCATCGATGGCCATCAAGTTAATGATGGCACCCAATTCAGCAGTACGTGACGCATCTTTGGAATCAGCTTTAGACTCTGCATCCTTATCGGTTTTTTCAGTCTCAGGGTCTTCGGTTTCTTGAACAGTAATTTTTCTACGCAAGGCCTTAGCGTAAACTTCACCAATGATAATCGCTCTCATGCGGACACAAACACGTCTTCCAAGGAAAAGCGAAAAGCCAGACGCGGTGGAGTCCGCCATTTTAGCCAAGGGCATAAGTATAACAATGCACCAAGCGACACTTTTGGAGGTGACGGTAGGGTCCGAGACGTACTCCAAAATCTTCTTCAAGAGTATACTTGGAGCAAAAACAATGATAGACTCAAGGAGTGCCCAGAATGCCTGGAACATAAACAACACTTTGAAGTGGCTAAACAACTTGAATGTAAAGCGCATAGTGGAATGTTTGCTTTCAAAATCTTGAAGAACATGCAAAGCGTAATCGTCTTCGCGCAATCCCCAAATATCTTCCTTGGCAAGTGGTGCTTTGCTAGCTTTCCAGATCATTTTGTCAATCCACGAATATGTGGAGAAGGACAAAAGGCTGGAGACAGTTTCAGGAGAAGGAGTGGTTCCATCCGAAGTGACGTAAATATGGCCTGGTTTATCACCCACAGTAGCAGTACTAGTCAAGAGGACTAAGATGAAACACAAGACAAAACTGGCTTCATAGTATCTCGATACCGTTGAGCTGGGGATGTTTCCAATTAAGGCAGAGCGGAAAAATACCACGGCTGGAATGAAATAGAACATGTACAATGCTGTCGAGTGTGCCCATAGTGAAGGAAGACGAATACGAACACGTGAGATGTTTATGACACGAACTGAACACAAGGCAAAGGCATAGAGCCAATAGAGGCAAATGACAATCAGCACTCTGATCGTACGCCATTTCTTTCTCAAAATCCGCAACGAAGAGAGTCGCCACGGCTATGGCTAACCTCAAAAATACACACAAAATGTACTACTGCGGTATACAACACAAAGCGGTCTTGCTGGTGGTTTTGGGGCACTTTCTACGCGCCTGGGCCATGAGGGAGTTCCATCCGTCATTTGTGTCAACCAAAATTGCACCAAGTCAAAATGGGCGGGGCTTTCAATGGACCTCTGAAGGGGCCTGGAGATGCTTCCGAGGATCCCACGGCGCCATATGCATCGGGTGATGCCAACAAGGGTCTGTTTTCTTCAGCATCAGCGAGTTTAAGCTCTCTTTTCTTGGAAAGACTAACGAGTGACTTGAAGGTTAAAAATGCTAAGGACGCGCCACCCACGCACAAAGGATAATAGTAAAGAACATTGGATCTAGTACATCGCGGAACGTCATCATAGTCCCAAAGCACACAACCCATTGTGGTACTTTTATCTTGTCCTTCTTTTTTTTTCGAATTTGAGAAAGGTGAGAAGCGTAGGACAGATAAAAAGAATATATGCCCTGTGTGCAGTATACGGAGCCGCATGAACATTAGGCGTTCCTATACATTCTCGATGAGTATCATTGGGGGTACTTCTAAGGCATTTGGAACATTATGCAAGTGAAGAAAAAAAGTGATGCAAATGCGGTCCCTTCTCCTAAAGACAAATTCTTTTAAGGACAGTGGCTAAGCTCAACGGGATAGAGGCTATTGTGAAATGTCTGCCTGTTTTCTTTGCAGGACAGTCTAGCATTAATCATCTTAGTCCACTTATCTGGCATCTACATCATTCCTCTTTCTTTTTACCCTAACCTATTAAAGCTGTTGTATTTTCCCCTCACAAGCCACGTTCCGCCATACTGTCCGTTTTCACGTATCGCATGTCCAGATGGCCAATGAATACGTTGGTATTGCCAGTGGTGGCAAATGCATGTTCTAATGAGTATTGCATACTCCCGGCTAAATGTGGCTTTTTTCTCGATAACAGCCTTCATAAACTTTTCGTTGTAATCAAGTCTACTCCAACAAAGTCATGAAGTTGAGTTCGCTCGGCAGTTGCTAACTTCAGCACCCTTGTCAGTTTATTTCTACATCACTACTATAATTTTGAGATTGTCAACTTCTCGGTAACTTTAAATTTTTCTCTATTTTTTTTCTTTTTTTTTATTTTTAGGTTTCAATATTTTTCATTCTCGCATCTTCAGATATACCGGGCATGTCGAAGAATGCCAATACTATCCGTTGGCTGAAACTCTGAAAAAATCGGTCGGATGATGCAGTTTCTATTCATGCCAGCTAGATTATGTTCTCTGCTACGAGTTGTAATACATGGATATCGAAAAGAAACAGTTTAGCCCCATTATCTCTATCATAATCGAACCTCTTCAATAACACATCTAGAGTGCTCTGATATCTTTTTCTGCTCCCTAATAGTACTACACTTTGTCCAACATACTGTATTAATGCACAACTTAGTCCTGGGTCTTCTGGGTACCTCTCAACAAACCAGTTCTTCTGGCAGCAATCAAACCAGCCTTTTGACCTGGGACAGCACCTCTAGAAATAGTAGAAGCCTTACCAATGTGTTGATGGTTACCACCACCGTGAGGGTGATCAACTGGGTTCATGGCAACACCTCTAGTTCTAGGCCAGGAGTTTCTCTTGACCTTGTACTTGTGGAAAGCTCTACCAGCCTTCAACAATGGCTTGTCGATTCTACCACCACCGGCAACAACACCAATGACACCTCTGGCGTCAGAGGAGATGACCTTCTTGGCACCAGATGGCAACTTGACTCTGGTCTTACCTTCATCTGGGTTGTGTCCAATAATGATAACGTAGTTACCGGAGGTTCTACCCAAAGCACCTCTGTCACCAACCTTCTCTTCGACGTTAGAGACAATGGTACCTTCTGGACAAGAGCCCAATGGCAAAACGTTACCGACGTTCAAAGAAGCCTTCTTACCACAGTAGACGAATTGGCCAGTGTAAACACCTTCGTTGGCAATGAAGATTTCCTCTCTCAACTTGTATCTGTATGGGTCTCTGAAGGCAACCTTGGCCAATGGAGCACCTCTACCTGGGTCGTGGATAATCTGCTTGACGATACCACGGATGTAGCCGTGACGTTCGGCATAGTCCAAGGTTCTCAACTTGGCAGCACCCTTTCTCAATCTGGTGTGAGAAGTGAAGATGGAGCCAGCACCCTTTCTTTGGTTACGAATCACTCTACCTGAGATGTTAGTATACTGTAACGTAAAAGTATGTGATTAAAAGAATACGGGAATCATATCATATCACAACTTTCGACTAGAAACACAGGAAAACCAGTATTTGTGATTCAAGTATTGCTTGAGAAATCTCGCATCGGTCTGTTGTCCAAATAATTCAGTCATGTGCACTAAGTAGATCAATAAACGATTTCCATGACCGGCTAAACCTCTTTCCGTAGTCTTTTTTAATTTTTTTTCCACTTGCGTTACATACCCATTTTGTGTTGGTTGAAGCTAGGAAGGCCAAATGGTGAAGTGAGAAATTTTCACACCGAGCAGACGGACGCAGGAATTCTAGGTCACGTGCTCCCATCGTTGTAATTTGGTTGGTGAGCATTATATTAAGGCCGCTCCGCAAACCAGATTTGTGTGTATATTACAGTACTGCAGATACAAACGCACGTGCATTAGTATAGGGCTTAGGGCTTGATTACTACTATGGATTTATTCAGAAGACGAACCAGCTTGGTTAGGCACTGTTTCCGGCTCAGCTATCTTTTGCTCATCTTTCTTCTCCTCACTTTTGTTCTCGTCACCTTTGAGTTCCTCGTCTTTGGGTTCCTCAGCTTTGATTTCGCCGTTCTTCTGGGACTCATCCGCTCCTTTCTCTTCGCTTAACAGTTTTTGGTTCTCATCTTGACGCCTCTTGTCACCCTTCGCTGTTTCCCTCTGTGTCTTTCCTTTTCTGCCTCCGCGTGGCTTGTGTTCCTTGCTATCGTTATGGCTGGGACGATTCAGATCAAAGTCAATCGCAACCTGCACGACGATTTCTCTGCCATTAATTTCGTAGCCGTTCAATTCCTTGATAGCACGCTGCTGCGTGTCCTCGTTGATTAGCCTAATGAAGGCAATTCCTTTATTGTAGATTGTCTTCTTTTGGTCGCGGAATATACGCAAAAGATGCGCCGGCATCATCCTCTTAGGCACGTAAATCCATTTTGACTTCAATCCCTTGTCCTTCAATAAGTATGACAAGTGTTTCGCTGTAACCTTGTAATCCAAATTGGATATGAAAACGGTATCCTTGGACTTCTTTCCGACACGTTGAGTTGTGTCGGTCTCGGATGCATTTTCCGCCGGAGCCTCTTCCCCTATAGATTCCTCGGTATTAGGTTCTTCCGAAGATCCTTTCTCTTTAGCCCCGTTGGACAAGTGCTCGCGTTTCCACTTATCCATTGCTTTCTTTCTCTGGAAGTACGCTTCGGTTTTCTTCCGCTTCTCTTCGGCTGTAGCTTGGGGTAAGGCTTTCTTTACATAGATAAACCTTTCGCCAAGGAGCGCCCCATTCAATTTGCCGATAGCGTCTTCGGCTTCCTCGGGCGTGGCAAACTGAACAAAGCCAAACCCTAGATACTTGACAAAGCTGCCTCTTTCCTTGGAAGGCATGTCAATGCTCTGAGGATTGGTGCCGACCTTCTTCAAAAATTCCATGAAGCTATCTTCGGTGGTGTGGAAATCGATGTTACCAACATAGAGTCTGCTGGAAATGTTATCAATAGGTTGAGTGTCAACTTCAGACATGTTTCTTATTGCTTGTTGATTGTAAGGTCCAGGTAATAGCGCACTGGGATTTTTTAACTTGATGATTTTCTTTTCTTAGTTCTCTCGAAGTCAGGAAACTTCAGTAGGTGAAGGTTTTTGGGTGTTTGGTTGGTGAATACATTCGCAAGTAGCGATTTTCTAGCGAATTCTACTGGATGTGATTGTATACAGGTATGTCCCACCAGGGCGCATTCTGGCTTGCGAGATCCGGGGTATCCTGTTGAGGCGTCAAGTTGGCATTCGATAAATGTTATACTGAGTGTTGACGAGTACAAGTCGGAACCTTTTTTTCTCTGAAATATACCTGAAGATTCGGCCCGATTTTGTCCTTTTGTCGAAATTGTGCAAGCATGAAACATGTAGACCAAATACAGTACAACTGGGGTATGGGGTAAGCATGACGAAAGGTCCATCCACATAAATAATACGGAGCGTGAGGAATGAATCTCGAAGTTTCGTGAGAAGGAAATGAATTGGATTGATTACCAAACTTACGGGGTAAATTCCTCCTCCATCTCCATCCACGGTATGGAGAGTATGGTAGATTGACGATTTTTGCACACCCTCTCTCGAAGTAATCCCATTTCCCATTTCCCATTTCCCATTTCATGTTTTCTATACGTTAACGCAAAGATGCTCCAACGTTTATTGCAGCGTGTTTCCATGGATTGTAGTACTAAGTTCTTCGGTTACCCATGTTATAGCTTCCTGGTGAACAACATCGAAACAGTAGTATGCATGGATTTCGTATTCTGTCGATGAAGCACGGAGTACAGCCTAATTCAATAACCGGAGAGCCATTAATCAGCAGCCCGGAGCCACGAGTAGACTGTTACACAACTCGAAATGAGCCTGAATCGAAAGGCATCCAATACTACCTCATGCACAATTTCGACTACTGCGGAAACGTATTTATTAATAGTAAATCTATTTTAATGAGGTTATCCCATTAGGACGAAAATGGAATATACAAGAGAGGCAGCGAGCTCCATGACATGCAGTTTATTTCAATTTGTAGAACAACTTGGGGGCAGCACAGTCGTTAATGCAGTGTTGTAAATGGAAAAACTCTTCCACACAGTCCTCCTTGTACGCCTTGTGGGCGTAGTCTGGCTCCTCCATTTCCTTGGTGACTCTTTCGACACACTCGTGGAAATGGTGCACATATGGCTCACATGCGGCAGTCTTAGCACACTCTTCTCTCAATTCATCGTATGGGTCCAGAAGCTCTTCTTCGTCTTCGTCTTCTTCCTCCTCTTCGTCGTCGTCTTCTTCTTCTTCGCCGTCCTCGGATGCTTCAGGAGTAGACTCTTCGTCTTGCGAAGACTCTTGTTCCTCTGGGGCTTCAGCCTCTGGCTAATAGTGTTAGTGGACAATCCAGAAAATTCGTAATGGCGTAATCAAAAACATACCTCTTCGGCGTAGGCGACGAAAGTGGATTCGAACAAGTCTCTCAAAAAGGACATCGTGGAGTTCTGCTGTGACTAGGTTGAAGTTCGATTTTTTGGTTTGGGTATACGCAGGTAGCAAATCATGCGAGAGACGATTGGTCAATTGTGTGTGCAGTTACCCGCCTCCCAGGAGGCACGGATGTATGGAATACACGGTTTAGAAACTTGATTTCCCTTTTTTCAAAGAAAAATAGTTCATTCAATATTTGATATGGCCAGTAGTACGAACAGGCTGTCTTCTGCCTCTAGGTGTTTTGTGGGTTTGTTCCAATGGAATTGAATTTGAGTTCGCGCGATCAGTTTACATTATTCTACGCAGATGCCACTATTTATGCATAATGGAGATACACGTAATAGTTGATGAAAAGAATTCTGTAATTTGCGATTCCAAATAAAGTTCACTGTACTTCTTTTCGACCATTCAGACTACCTCTATCGGTTGCAATGATTCATCGTATGAACACCTTTCACTTTGCTTCCATCGTCCATGAGAGCATCACAATCGAACAACCGCAGTACGAATGAACTAAAAATTACAATTTGGAACAAAAATAAATAAGCCTATAATCTTTAAATCAGTTTAGTTATCTTCTATTGAGCCTGTCAGATAACGCAAGTTTGTCCATATTGACTAATGAATTTGACAATCTTCGATTCTCTGGGCGACATAACCATCGGGTGACATAACCGTGCACAGTTATACCAACCCTACTCACAAAGTCCTGAGACACGTTACTGCTAGACAGGTCATAATCATAGGTTCGTTACTTCGTATTACTTTGCAAGTTTATCTTGCTAAACCGTAATGCCGTTTGTTAATTATGCAATGTTTTTTAATTAAAATGCACTAACACCATCAACTTCCCAACATTTCCAAACTCATACTTCGGCTACAAAACGTAAATGATATCACAGGATGTGGATTAGATTATACATGTTTAAGCAGAAGTAGCTGGGGCAACGTCCATTTGCTTAGCCTTCTTGGCAGCCTTGTCGTTGTGCTTGGCACCCATGATACCACCACCCCAGTGCTTTCTGGTCTCCTCGTACTTCTCAATGAAGTTGGCGTTGATGGTAGAGATCAAGTTAGCCAACTCAGACTCGTCAGCAGCAGCAACCTCGGTCAAAGCAGCGACAGAAGAGGTCTTCTTGTGAACCAAAGTACCCAATCTAGCCTTACCCTTGACAATGGCGTATGGAACACCCATCTTTCTGCACAAAGCTGGCAAAAAGATGACCAACTCAATAGGGTCAACGTCGTTGGCAATCAAAACCAACTTGGCCTTCTTGTTCTCAATGAGAGAAACAACGTGGTTCAAACCGTACTTGACAACAACTGGCTTTGGAGAAACGTCGAAAGCCTTCTTACCCTCAGCGATGGCAGCGGCCTCCTTGGTCAATCTCTCCTTCTTCTCAGCAGCAGTCTCTGGTCTGTACTTGTTGAACAACTTGAAGGTTTGAGCAGCAGTGTTCTTGTCCAAAGTGTTTTGGAATTGAGCAATAGCTGGAGGAACCTTCAATCTCATAGACAAGATCTTCTTTTGTCTTTGCAATCTAACGTACTGTGGCCATTTGACGAATCTGGACAAGTTTCTTCTTTGGTTGGATGGATTGACCAATACCAAAAGTTCTTTGGGGTGGCCTCAATCAAAGGGTTCTTTGGGGCAGCATTCTTGGCGGTCTTGGTGGCCAATGGAGCTGGAGCGACTTTCTTTCCTGGAGCCATTTTGATGTTTCTGGGTTTGCTGAGATCCGGAGGAAATTTTTCAATCTTTTTTTTTTAGCGGGAGACGGGCCAGGTGCGGGTGTACGGGTGCAAAGTCTCAAGAGATGCCGCTCTCCCTTCGCAGAAAAACCCGTACCACATTGTAATGCACGTGATTGTTGGTGACTGCTTTCCGGTTTTATGTCAATGCACTGTAAACGTTATGCGGACGCACCTATTAGAATATGTACTTGCATGAACTGTGTATTATCTGCACGCCGGCAGTCCCAAAATGATAAATAATATATATATACATTACAGTACAATCCACCGCTGGTCACACCAACCTTTTATGGTATATTGCGTAAATGTAGACACCGTCGTACAAAACGATGAATGATGTAAATGCTGTGCTCCTTGAAGTACACCCGCAGGTTGCCAAGTTGTGAAATTGCTAGTGTTTTTTTGAGCCACGGACGCACACGGCATTGCCTGCTGGTGCATTATACTTTCTCGCGGCCGCGCATCCAGTCGTGGCGCAAGAACGACGGAGTTCCAGAGCTTTTCTCTGGACATTGTTGATATGCGAAGAAGCCCGTGCTGGCTGTCAAACTCCTGAAGCGAGGGATTTTGTCCAATACAGACAATCTCTTTATCGTCGGTAGACATGGGTAGAATTTTTCTCACACGAGCAGAATAATCCAACGCATAACGGCGAAGAAAATCGCTATTGACCCGAGTCTCTCGGCACTTTAGCGTCAGTACAGAAGACGTTGGCATATCCTGTACGAGAGTATTGGGTCGGTTACAGACCCCCGCGATTCCTGCAGTACTCTGGTAAACGGCTTTGTGGGTTTCTGCAGTCTGCGTTCTTGGTGTCCCAGGATTCTGCTCCATTAGTCGCAGAAGCTGGCGCCGGATATTAATTTGCGGCTGGCGAAGGAAATTGCCAGACGCACAATGTTTTGCTGTAACGGGTTCGATAGCAGTCAATTTTAGGCCAGGTGGAGATACCACACACGAGCACGGAGAAAGTTGTACTTGGGACAGCTCCAGCTCTGTATACGAGTAATCAAACACACTTTCTGTATCAGAATCGGAGGAAGTGTCAAAACTTAGCAGAAGAGGAGGCGATACGGCCTGGGATGAAACCGCCTTCGGTAGCGAAAGCTGGCAAAACTGTCGCAGACTGAAGTCGACGGACATATGCATCGCTTGGTATGGCAATGGAAAAGGAGCGCAACACTTTATAGCCTGGAGATAGCAAAAGAAGGCGTTGTCAAAAGCTCACCTCAGTGGCCCGAAGGCCCGGCAGATGGACTGTTTATAAAGGGTGAGGGATGGCCCAAAATAGTTAAACGATGCGGGTTTTCCGGGGACTTCTGCAGGAAACGCTGCGCACCGGCATAGTGCGTTGTCTCATGAGCGTACGGCTTCGGTTGTATTAACAAGGTAGCCTTCTACCAACGTGGACGCAATGAACCGATATCACGCCATTCATATTGTTTCTGGTTTCTTCTATCTTTCGAAACGATACTTCAAAATCTTACGCGCTGATATCGGTCTACTTGAATAGACATTTTTCGGCTATGATTGGCGAAGAACAAATTTATCTGCGCGAAGATAGTCATGTATATTGAGGTCAGCCTATCGTGAGACAAACACGAGACAGGGAATGGGCGTGAGCAATCTAGATAACACAGGCAGTAGCAACATCATCTACTAGCAACTAGTGAATTATGACAATGAAAATTCAAATACCATGCAGTAATTGCATTCTGTAGACAGCTTACATCCTATCAAACATTATGGTGATCTTGTAATTAGTACGCTATGAACACTTTGACAAAACACAGTGCCGGCACAATACACTGTCATCTACCTTTCGCATATCAGAGTAATATCTTTTGAATTCTTATCATAACACAAGTAGAGAGCAATGGCATTCTGCATTCTTTACGCAAAGGCCCCACCTAATACTTATACCAGGAACCGTAGGCCAGTTCTCGACCATATCATCTACTCATGTCAATATAAGTTCGACGCCCACCATTGAGGCATTTGAGTGAAGTAAGCAATGGCACTTCCACGGGGATGGGCCTGCCCTACATCTTTTGCCCGCGGAAAGACGAGTTGAAACCCAAAAGCTGATTGATACCCTTGATCCAATCGCTCTCAGTGTTGGCCACACAGAAAAGACCCTTCTTCACCTCTGTTCCCTTGCCTGTCTGGAAGTAAAAATGGCCCGGCTCCACGTAATGATCAAATTCCTCTCTATTACGCAACAGCCCTGGTGGCTGGTGTTTGCCAGGGATGAATATAGTTCCGTTTTCATTGACCACGTGAATCTCATCTCCAGGTTTCAAGTCCTGCTGCGGTATGCCGTCAATGTTCATTTTAATCAGGCCATTGCGGTTGGAATCCGAAAGCTTAATCATCACATGCAGTGTCGACGGCAACACGAGAGGGCGGAACGACAACAGCCGTGGACAGACGGGTGTCATGAGGATGCATGGCACTAGTGGATGCGTGATGGAACCTCCCGCCGAAAGCAGGTATGCGGTCGAGCCTGTTGGCGATGCAAGGATAATTCCATCCGCAGTGGTCGTTGTAAGAAACTCGCTGTCAATGTAAATGTCAAGCAGAATAAGGTTGGGCTGCAGACCACGGTGCAACAGAATGTCGTTCATAGCATGAACCATCGACCCATTGTGGTGCTGCTTATAGTGTGCAATCTCGTACTCCGCAATCTGGGGAGGTTTCGCTAATGCCTCGCTCCGCACCACATGGCATTCAAGCCTAGTGCGGTGCAATGCTTTACTGCGCGACTCAAAGACCGCCCGAAATGCTTCTTCGAATCGTGCAAAGTCGAACGGAAGCAAAAAGCCCAATGTGCCCATAGCAAAACTGAGCACAGGTGGAACAAGTCCGTTGGAGAACGCAGACACAGCACGCAAGGTTGTCCCATCGCCGCCAAGTGTGACAATCACGTCGGTCTTTGCTACAATGTCTTGCACAGAACCTGTGAACAAAGTATGACGTGCCCCGTCTCCGTAAACCTGGGCAAGCTCATCTGCAACGTCGGGAGCCACAATGACATTGAGGGCAGGGTATTCTGCATGAATGTGGTTGATGAAAGTCACCATTGCAGCCATAGCAGCTTCATTCCATGGCTTCTTCACCACGTAAATATTCTGGAGCGGAGTACGCCAGATAATGCTGTGGAGCTTCAGATGCGGCGACCCAACGTACTCAGGCACAATCCTGTTGCGCAACGACAGACACGGCCGCACTTGCAATGCCCCTTCGCCAACGGATGCTTTGTCTTGACTTTGCTGTGAGTCTTGCTTTTGCGTCTCATCTTTATTCTGATCCTGCGCTTGAATATTCTGTTTTGTGCTCCATTCCCTCGAAGCTTGGTTGTGTTCGTTCTGGTCCTTTTCGTGCTGTACATCTTTTCGCTTCTCAGACTGCTGACCTGCCGTCTTTTCAATTTTCATTCGCCTGTCACTCGTGTTTTGGTTGATCTTGGTATCCCCCATATTAGTGGTGGTGCTTTCTTGTGTCTTCAGTGCCTTTTTCTGCGCTTCTGTTCCGCCATGTAATGACCGACCAAAATGGGCCCATGACTTATTCCAGAAACGGGGCCGCAAAGTCCCCGCTTGCCTACGCCCCACATTGGCGCCAATTCGTAGCATGAGAAAAGTGGTGGATATGTTGACTGTATAGAGTTACAGTCGCATGATTCATCCTGTGGAGGTTGTCGCAATTCCAATCTCACATCTCTCGGTCCAATACTCAGGCACAGTACGTTAACGTGCATGTAATTGTAATTTTTCGATATAGGTTTGACATCCGATCTATACACTCGAACTATTGTAGCATTTGGCTTCTAGTTGGCCAGGCACTCTAGATACATCTCTCATCATGATTAGTTGAGCGCGACACATTGGAGAAGGTACTATCTCGATATGATCAAGATGGCTGGCTTATCTCAACCACTATTTTTTGTTGCCGTTTTTATTTTATTTTATTTTTTTTTCTTACAAAACTGTTCCTGTCGGCTATACCACTGGTCAATATGAAAGTTTGTTCGTAATCGCATTCCTATATTTCCATAATCAATCGTGTGCGTAGCTCTTATCTATACCCCACTTCTTGCAAACCTTATGCTATGCTAGACATGCAATACAGAAAAATGACCAGGTCAACAGGCATCGTGCACTGTCTCTTGAAGCTACACTAATATTCTGTTCTAAGTTCTCAGTCAATGTACGTACAAGGTACTGCTACTGTCACCTCGACACAATCAAGTGATCTTGCCGTCTGCGCATCGATCTGATTGACTGGGTGCACCCGATTTTCACCTCAGTGTTATTTCTATCTTTACTGCTCTGCATTCAATCCATCGATTTCCTTCATCTCCTCGTCTGTTAATGCGGTTCCAATGTGTTTCTCTCCCACGTCCTTTGTCTCATCATCGTAGAACTCGTTTTCTGGCACCACTACTTCGTCACGCGCCTGTTGCAGCCCTCCCCTTGGTGTCAATTGCTTCTGGTGTATCTTCTTCCTCATCGCCCAAATCCTCTGGGTCTCGAGGTACATCTTGCATCTGTACCGATGGGGCATGCCGCGTGTTCTCCAAGTTTGCCACGATATTGGTCAAGATCTTATTCAAAAATTCGGGCGCATTGGCGTTATACATGTTCGAGGGCCGCACGTCAAGTTTGTAGTCAGGACCGTAGTACTCGTAATATTCATTGTACGGTAACTCGTCTGGTAATGCCACCTCATTGAGCAATCCAGACTCGTATGCCCACGTACGAGCCACATTTCGCATAGTGTAGCCACCTCCGCCCACAACCATCATAGGCACACCAAATGATTTAACAAAGTTAACACAATTCGCGTGACCACGCATCAGCAAGTTGAAACAGCCCAAACGGTCACCGCTCAAGGAGTCTCCACCACATTGCAACACGATGGCCAGCGGTTGGTACCACTCCATGATTTTGGTAATCACAGGCTCGAAAATCAGCTTGTATGTCTGATCATCAATACCATCACGTAATGGAACGTTGACTGAGTGGTATTTACCCTTGCCCACTCCAATATCACGCAACTCTCCTGTTCCCGGGAAAAATTCACCATACTTATGGAAGGAGCATGTCATGACACGGTCTGTAGTATAGAAGGCCTCCTCCACACCGTCACCGTGGTGGACATCAATATCAATATACAACACACGTGGGTGGTAACGCAATAACTCAATGATACCTAACACGATATCGTTCAAGTAACAGAAACCCGAGGCTTCAGACTTCTTTGCGTGGTGCAAGCCTCCCGCATAGTTAATAGCAATGTCACACTTGCCACGGTTCAAACGGGCTGCGCCCTCCATGGACCCGCCGCCGGAGATTCCACAGTACTCAAAAAGCCCATCGAAAACAGGGCAGTCGTCGCCCACGTTGAACTTAATCTGTTCCTTGGCAAACATATCCAAGTTATCAGGCAGGACACGGCTTAAGAAGTCGATGTATTCGTCTGTGTGGAACTGGCACATTTCTTGCTTGGTGGCAGGTTTGGCCCGGTAGATTTCCATTTTCTTGTAGAGCCCATAGTTCATGATGAGAGAGTGTGCCATTCTTATCCGGTGCGGTTTCATCGGGTGCCCAGCACCGTAGGCATAGTTTCCGACGTCAGCATCGTAGAAGTACGCCACTCGCTTCTTTTTGCTGGGGTCAACCTTGAGTTCGTCAAAAGGCAACTGGACAAACATGTGGTTGGTAGGTTTGAGAAAATAGATATTCTGCAGGTGGAATTTGGCTCGCACTCTTGGGACAAATGTAGGACAAAAGTAGTACAGTGTGGATGACCCGTCAGTCATCCTTCATCTTTCCTAATGTTTCTTTCATATTTGTAAAGGCGAGGTGGGTTTGTCACTTACAAAATTTTGTTTTCTTTTTATTTTATTTTATTCTTTTCCCTGCTTTTCCTGTCTTTGTACTTGAGGTGGGCTTTAGACCACGCGGTGCGCCATGTTGGAGGTAATCACATCTTTGCAAGATTCGTCAAATTCAGTTTTCTGATACACAAACTCTATCCAAAGAGTAGTTTTACAGGCTTGGCGTATGTCTTATTGTATTGTTTGACCTTTTGTAAGGAAGAAACGCATCTTTTGAAGGTTTACTTGACATACTACATACGCATGCGATTACAACACAATACTGTCCGAATTGTCACTGTCGACCTTAAATTGTGCATTGGTGCCCACGCAAATATATCCGTCTCATCTAACTCCTCGCACCCGGTCTCTATACTCGGCCAATTGCCGGTTGAGCTGTTGTTGTATTTCTGCATTGTGCCGATATTTTTCAAATAGTTCCTCGTCAACCTCAAAGTTTATGCCATTGTTAAATGTTCCTGTAAGTTTGCGGTTTGTCACCGCGATTGGTAATACCCAAGAAACCCACGAGGTGCCCATCACTGCTTGCCAATTCCTGCAAGCACCCAAATCGTAAATGTGGCCTAGTCTCCTCTTTTTTCCATCAGCATCAAATTCGTAGCCGCTATCCTGAAGCTCCAGATATTGCCATTTGATATCTTGGAACTCGATGGTGGTGTAGTTTTTTAAAACCATATAAAGCAGAAACGCCAGAAACAACCCCACAGCCACGAAAAACGCTAGAGAAGTCACAAACAAAAATACCATATTTAGCGAAATGTACGAATCGCTATAGTCTTGATCCCAGAAAAATTCGAAAAGGGTTGCCCCACTCACGCAGAGAGTAAGCATGCAATACACCGTGATATAAATGAGCGACTGGATGAAGAATTTGTGGTTGTAGAAACCGATACATGCTGAGAACCACGGACAATGGTGATCCATTCTTAGAAAACATTTTTGACATGTAGAACAGTGGTGGCAACGGTCAGGTTTCCACACGCCACAAGTTGAGCACCAGCGATAAGCAGGCGCGTTGTTTTTGAATGTGTGGCTCGCAAAAAGCTCCTGCGGTGGTGATCTTGCTGTGCTTGGATCATTCCCGAGAAGCCGCTCGTTGGCCTCGTCCGTGGCCAGATATGGGTTTTCTGTAGAAGACTTTGATCCATCTGTCTTTAGCTCCGGAAAGTCTAGAGGCGACCCAGCGCCCACTATGATGACTTTGAAGTATGTGTACATAGATAAGACGAACATTGCTGTTATAATTATCTGAAATGTACGTATCCATGACGGATGGGACTCACTATGTAGCCCTGTCAAAACGACATACAAAGACCATGACATGAGGCCCAGGACAAGAACCCGCGGAAAAAGTGTGGAAAACCAATTGTATAGTACATATGCCAGCGAACAAAACCCGCCATGTATCCACATTATTGACGGTTGGGTAATAAGCATGAGGACCAAATCTATTCTGTCTGTGTGCTTGCACACAGGGCCTGAGAATTGGTGCATAGACACATGATAGACATTTCGCTTACTAGGACCACTACTGTGTCTGTGGCACTACGGAAAAAAAAAAGAATACAGGTACCTTGACTGGATTCCAACTCTCACCCACTTCAAGAAATATTTGGCTAGCATCTGGTACGCCATCTGGCAGTTTTTGTGTTCAATGTTTTGTGCAGTAGACTTAGCTCTATACACACGTTTAATTGAAGCTGTTTGATCAGAGATTAACCCAGAGGATTCCTTAAATGAATCCTCCAGTGAGGATCTAGAGACAGATGGTTTGGTAGCATCAGCAGGAGCAGTAGACGGAGTAAACATTGATAAGTGACGTTTGATTGACATAGACATATATGTATCGGGAGATGGAGAGATGATCCTTAGAGAAGGGAATCCATCTTAGAGAGAATAGATGATCTTATATATCCGTGAGAACTACAAGGTGAAACCTTCTTAAAACAGAGAGGGGTACGATGTGTAGCCCTATAGTTTCAGAATCTGTAAGATAACGATGAAACTGTTCTCGGAGTAATCCTGACGTGCATATTGCATGTAAGAGATTCTCAACACTCCCCTTGAAGGTGAACTTCAGTAGTTCATCACAAAAGATCAATTGGGCTTAGACCAGATGCACATCTTTGACGTAGGTTCGAGAAAAGAGGATCTGTTATCGCCTTTGTAAACATGTCTGCGCAGTTCAATTTTGTAGGAACGTATTGAAGCAGCAAGACAGTGCATTGAAGTTGTTGTTTAACAAAATCAACTTTAATTCTTATGTGTTTAGTTCCTTCTAATAATGCATCCAGCTGCACAGTTTTAATGGCTGGCTGGTTGTCACAGAAGAGACTTGCGTTGCAATTTATATTCATGTCTTTTAAAAGGTTTAATAACCAGACACTTTCTTGTGTTGTGTAACATAAGGCAACAAGTTCGGAATTTGCTGTAGAGAGAGCCACAAGTGTTTGTAGCTTTGATCTCCAACTAACTGGGGATCCACCATATAGAACAACTGAACCTGTGGTTGAACGACTTTTTGTATCTGCTTCAGAGGCTAGGTTAGCATCTGAGTAACTAAAGAGCTCATTTGGTGCATATGATGTATAGCGTAAGCCAAATGTTGGGGTGCCTTTTAGGTATCTGAGAACACGTTTGGCAGCATCCATGTGTTTCACTTTAGGTGATGCAAAGTAGCGTGATAATTTCAGAACGATGTAATTTATGTCGTATCGAACTGTGTTTGCAGCATAGAGTAATTTTCCAACAATGGATCTATATTCATTTTCATCACATGGTAGATCTGTGCTGTCAGGTAAGTCGTCAAGGTTAGTTTTATTCGCAGGTGTTTTGACTGGATTACAATCAGTCATGTTGTATTCTGCAAGGAGATTTCGAATATAATCTTTCATGCAGACTTGAATTCCAGTGGATGATATCTCCAAGTTCATACCAATGAATTTCGTAGCAACACCAAGGTCTTTCATTTGATAGACTTGACCTAAGTGAATTTTGAGTTGATTTATCTTTGCAAGGTTTGTACCAGCGATTAACATATCATCAACATAAAGTGCGACTAAAGTTTGATCTTTATTATCAAACTTATAGTATATGCATGGTTCATGGATAGTTTTCTTAAAGCCAAGTGACACAAGAGTTTTGTTTATAGTCTGATTCCAGACTAAGGGAGCTTGTTTCAATCCATAGATTGACTTGTTCAACTTGAGAACATATTCAGTGGTCTTATCTTCACTATTCTTGGAAACAGCTTTGTAACCGGGAGGTTGTCTCATGTATAAATCTTCCTTGAGGTCACCGTTTAAGAACGCGGTTTTAACATCCATTTGATGTACATGCATTTTGAGTCTACCAGCAATGGCTAGGAGTAGACGTAGACTAGTATGCTTAATCACAGGAGAGAAGGTTTCTTCGTAGTCAATTCCTTCTTTCTGTGTATAGCCTTTGGCAACTAGTCTGGCCTTGTAGAGGCCTTTGTCCTTGATATTGAAAACCCATCGACAGCCTATGGGCTTTACGTTTGGTGGTAAAGGGACAAGAGTAAATGTGCCATTTTCGTGATGTGCTTGCATTTCCAGGTTGCAAGCTTCTAACCAATTCTGTTTGTCTGCAGCTCTCATGGCTTCAGAATAGGAGTTAGGAATAGGTCTCAGGTTATTGAGATGGTTTTCAGCATACACAGTCGCAGCATGTAAGACTGAAGTAGTACTAGGAATTTCTTCCTTGTGACCAGGTGTATCCACCATGTCAGTCCTTAGAACCATTAGGACTTCATCATGAGAACGCTTTTTCGACTTTTTAGATTTGTTAGACTGGGCAACTGACACTTGTTGCAGTCGGGCTGGAAATTTAAGGAGGTGATCATGTTGTCTACCCCCCTTGGTGGATGACAGCAATTTGGGAAAAAGGGAGCGAGTATAGCTCCGGGTCCGGTAGTGAGGTGGAGATGACGAGGAAGGCGGCTGCGGAGAAGCAGGAGGCGCCGTAACCGGATTAGTGGCAGAAGAGGTCAGCAACTGCGCTAAGGTAGCGGACGGGGTAAGCGACAGCGTCTTAGCAACCTTTCGAGAAGGCATAGGAGAGGACTCAGTGATCAGCAGAGTCGTGGAGGCCGCCGGGACCACGGGCGGAGGAGAAGCAGACTTTTCAGTGGTTCGAGGCTGCGTGGAAAAGAGATTCGCGAGATCTTGCTTTTCACGAAAGAGGTCTTCAGGAGAGAGACGTTTAAAGGGCGCCGGCAACTTAATGCTTGGGAGGAGAGCCGTAGAAGGCGGTTGTGATTAATCAGAAGAGACCTAATGCGCGCATCATGCTTGATAAAGTATAGGTCTTCGGGAAGTAAGGTAGCTTGGTCAGAGTCGAAGACCGTCATGAGGTCATAACTGAAGAAGCGATGGCCTGTGCGTTGAACAGCAGGTCCTAAATAGACACATTCAAGAGAATTAGGAGCTAATTTGTTGGCACGGATTTCAAGCGGAAACGTAACCTGTGCAGTGCACCCAAAAGGATAAAAGGTGGGGCAGGGAATCAGCAGGTTGTTAAACCAACAGTGAGTAGGTGTCTTATGTTGTAAGTTGGAGCGTGGTGTCCAGTTGAGAATGAATGCAGAGTACCGAATAACCTCAGGCCAGAAAGCAAGAGGAATATTGCCATGTGCGATTTGAGCACGAGCTTTGTCTTCAAGAGTACGGTTCATACGCTCCGCAATGCCATTCTGAGAAGAACAATGGGCATGAGTGAAATGAGGAGTGATACCGTGCTCATCAAGAAAGACAAGAAGATTATCATTGATGAATTCAGTGCCATTATCCGAGCGAAACTGTTTGGGATAGTGAGTGGCGCGAAGAGCGTTGTAGCTCCGAAGGATAAAGGTTTGAATGTGAGTCGAGGCTTCACTCTTCCGAGCTAACGGAATAGCCGTAACATAACGGGAGAAGCGATCAACAATGGTAAGGAAGTACCGTGTATTGTCGTAGGCCGGATGAGAATCAAAGGGGCCACAGATGTCGACATGGATTACCTCAAAAGGTTGGGTAATGGGTGTAACGCCACGGGATTCCTTGGGAAAGTGATTAGTGGTTTTGGCTCCAAGACAACCACGACATTGGGTGAGGGGAACATGAACCACAGATTTGGGTATTGAAAGTAATCTTTTGAAAGCCGCAAATTGGTTGGCACCGGGATGGCCCAACTTAATATGCCACAGTTGAGAGAGGGCATCGGCCTTGACCGTGAGGGTGTCTGAAGTGTCAGAGGGGTCGGTCTCTTGTTCAGCATCATTCGATATTACTGACTCAGTGTCAGGAGAGGAATCGCTGCAGGGATCCTCAGAGACAGTATCAAGTCGATTAATTAAAAATAGACTGAGGGGTGGTGTGTGTGAGGCGACGTGGCTGTGAGTCGTCGCAGCATCACAAGGTAAAACTCGAACATTAAGCACAAGGTGTCGAGTTGTATAGGGGCTCACCACTTTAAGTGTGTGAACGTTAATAAGGTCGCCATTGCAATCAATAGCAATGCAACCGTCCGCCTGACGGAATCGATCAAAGGAGATGATATTGGGTAACTCAGGGATGTAGTGCACATCAGGAAGGACCAACTGGTGGCCATCCGAGAGTTCAATTTTCATGTCTCCAATGGTGTTAACAATATGGGTCACACCATGAGAAATTTCACGAGTCGTCGATCTCACATGACTCAAGAGAGTCTTGTCGTTGGTAATATGAATATCGGAGGCCGAGTCTAGGATGAATGTACAGGTGGGATAAACAGAAATATCTTCATTGTAGGACACAAGATAGAGAGACCCATCATTAGCTTTGCCAGCATTCAGACCAGAAGACTTGTTCGTCTTGGAAGACGACTCCGAATAAGGTTTAGAAAACTTCTTCCGAAAGTTTCCTCGTTTACCATTGTGAGAGTGGGGTTGGGCGGGTGGGGGCTGTTTTCCAATCTCCGATTTTCAAACTTCGAATCTTTCAACACAACCTGATCTTTGGAGAGCCAATTTTTATGGGACTCTGCAATGGACATATACCAAAACTGGAATCTGTTTCTCAATAGTCTTCATACGGGATTGAGCTTTCTGGTACAAGAGAGAAAGTTCTTCGCATTGTTTGTGAGTCGTTGGTTTGGGTGTAAAGATCACAAGAAAAGTGATCCCATATGTCATCAGGGCTAACGGACAAGGCAAGGAGATGGAATAACAATGGTTTGTAGTCTCCTTGTGATGCTCGCATCACTAACTTTGGACGGCGAGTTAGAATTGCCATGCGATAGGCGGCTTTGTCATCAGCCTTAGTGCTAGGAATGAGTTCATTTTCGATAAAATCACGAGTGTAGAACGTCAGCTCCGGAAAGAAAGCCTTATCTTCAAGAAGATGTTTGATACACTTATGAAAACTTTGTTCCATACAGTTCACTGCCTGTCGAGTTGACTCTGCCAGTCCAGAGAAACATTTTTCGTACTCCTCACTTGAGTGAGTAAAAAATTCTTGCCCAGAGCGGAAATGTTCCTATGAACTTTTTCTTGAAACAGTAGTACCATTCGTGTAAAAGGTACTCCTTCTCTATTTCAAATGGGTTGAGATCTTCGATCACACAGCGGCCCATAACCTGTTCAATGTTTTGTGCAGTAGACTTAGCTCTATACACACGTTTAATTGAAGCTGTTTGATCAGAGATTAACCCAGAGGATTCCTTAAATGAATCCTCCAGTGAGGATCTAGAGACAGATGGTTTGGTAGCATCAGCAGGAGCAGTAGACGGAGTAAACATTGATAAGTGACGTTTGATTGACATAGACATATATGTATCGGGAGATGGAGAGATGATCCTTAGAGAAGGGAATCCATCTTAGAGAGAATAGATGATCTTATATATCCGTGAGAACTACAAGGTGAAACCTTCTTAAAACAGAGAGGGGTACGATGTGTAGCCCTATAGTTTCAGAATCTGTAAGATAACGATGAAACTGTTCTGGAGTAATCCTGACGTGCATATTGCATGTAAGAGATTCTCAACATTTTGTTATCCTGCATATACTTGGGAGTCGTAGACTATCTACTGTTGCATCTTTATCTGTGCCAATATATTCTTGTATCTATATAATCTATTCGTAATTTCGTGCATAGTATCTCTCTATATTTATGTCTATTCACCTCTATTAATCACTCTTTTTTTTCTTCAGCGAGGGCAACTTCATATAAGACTCGAACCCAATGCCCCCAAACACCATTAATACACCCACCCATTGTAAGGGCGCTAGATGGTGCCCAAACAAAACCACACTGAGAATCATAGAGATCATTTTTCTCGTGACGGTTGCAGTAACCAAAATCAAAGAGTCAAACTTCTCCAAAATGATGAAAACAAAAATTTGGCCCATGGCGCCAAACCCAGCGAAAGCCACGATATCGCCTAATGCATGTGGATATTTTTCAACAAACTTCAAAGTGTAAAGAAGTTCCTCGTTATACTTGAAGAAGAAAATATACGAGGAGGTCAAGGCAAAGACGAAGATATTTAAGATGCACATCAACGACGCTCCAGTAACTTTTTGTTTGTGGCTTCGAAGTTTGAACAACTGGTCTTGGGTGGAGTTCGTAAATCCGTCTAATAACATAGATCCTAGTAATTGCGTCATCCCTAAAATTGTGTTACCATCATTGATAGACTCGCGCAGGCTCTTCAGGGTATGTGTCACAGTGAACATAATCACCCCGCCGGTTACTAATCCCGCGACCAAATACTTGTATGGTGGGAACTTTGTCCGGTAGAGAATGAAATGTACAAGCATGACAGGAAGCAACTTGCATGACTTGGCCAAAAGATATGCCAAGTAATCCACATGTTTGAGAGATTGATACCCCAACGGCGACGAAAGGCTCGATGTAATTGCAATGACAATAAAATAAACCAAAAAAGTTTTACCACCGACACTGCCTTTTTCCTTGGGGCTGCTGAATATAGCAAAAGGATTCTGTTTGTGGAAGATAAGTGAGTAGGCGAAACCAACGATGAATGCAAACATAGCTTGAATTGCATTCACGACAAGCGGAGCCTTGAAGTAAACTGCTTTAGAGCCCTCCATGCCATAAGGTTTCGTATTAATCCGCTCTTGTAATAAGGACCATGATAAGAACAGAGCATATAGACCCAACACGCAGAAAACCAAGACAAAGACCTTGGAATCTTTCATTCTCTGGTTACTGGTTACAGAAGGTGAAAGAAGATGCGCGCCAACAATTACACGTAGTACTTAGTAGTTTCGAAACCTGCATTAGTGAGGTTCTCGAAAAGCCTTTGGGCTAAAATCAGGCATTACATTTGATTTCGTCAATTACTTTACACACGAATTATCTAACGACCAAAAATTCCAAAGAACCCACTCTTCTTCTTGTCTTGTGATTCCTCTCTGTTTTCAGTATCAACAGGCTTACTAGAATCGTGCGTGTAACTGATGTAATTATAGGCAACGTCAAACAAGACAGCTTTGCTTAAAACAGGAGCAATCTTACCTTTTTGTGCCACTTTCACAATATTCTGCAAGCATCTACTTGAAGTTGGGAATTTGAAAACATCATCAGCCACAAGCGCCTCGGATGGACCCTGAGTCTCAGCCTGGAACTGAGCTAAAACATGCGATTTCTTCAACAAGCGAGCAATAGAATGTTCTAGTTCCTTGGCTTCTTCAAGGCTAGCCACATCGAAGGGGAAAGCATCTACCTTGTAGAAATGTTCATCAACAGAGTACACACGTTCAAGGTGCATGAACACACTCAAAGCCTCCGCAAATTTGTCTGCAAGAGCATATGAGTTTGCAACAGTTACCGATTGCTTAGCTTTGAAGAAGTTGCCCATGTTCTCCAACGATTCAGAAAGCTCTTCATCATTGTAAACACCAGGTAAGTCCTTGAGTTCGTCCACTGTAGAAATCACTGAGCCGTACAACCTTAAGATATCCTTGTTGGCTCGAAGAGTTTGCGAAACGGTTGACGATGACTGGTTCAATTGGTCTATGAGAAGCAAATCTCTTTTCAACTTTGTAAAGAGCATGTTATATTTGAGATACGTCAAAAGAACAGCGCCATTTTGAACTTTTTCTGGGTCATCCTCATCATTGTTCTTCGACAAGTCTGATTGGTGAAGTTCAACCAACGCCTGCCACAGCGAATACATGTTATCGTAATCATTTGAGTCAGAAAAACTTTTCCAATCAATCTTGATCAATTTCGAGATCTGGAAAGCCAATGCATCGTTGTCAATCTGTGCAACATGGTTACGCCAGTTCACTGTTTTGAAAAGCTCTTCAGCCTTTGGCACCAGGAAGAAAGTTTCTTTCACTGAAACTATAAGGTCATTGAGAGGGGCCAAATGAGGCAAAGAGTTATTGAGACAAAACTTTCTGGAAACTGTACGCAAATCTGCGGTGGTATCTTCAGTTCCTTGGGAAAGCGCTAACCTCAAGGAAGGATCGACAGAAGTGTCGATCAATTCCTCCAACAATGTTTTGTTGAACAGAGATTCATCTCCCGTGAGTATGTCCAACAAAAGTTCCAAGCCACATCTGGCCAGCGAGTATGCACTAAGAGCTTTGTCCCATTGTTTTCTGAAGATAGCATTGGCTCCTTCGGTAAGGGCAGCATAGACAAAAATCTCAACCTTCTTTATCGTGGATTGTTCATCTTTAGTCATCTCAATCAACTGTTCTGTCGTGGTTGCTGCTCTTTGTAACTTGTTTCTCATCAATTGCTTGTAGTATTTTGTACCGTCAACGCCAATTTCAAGAAAGCTCTTGGCCTCCAAGGCATGCAAGCTGTATCTTTCTGCGAGCAAAAGAAGGAGATCCCCATACCTTTGGTCGGCGTTATATTGCTCTGCTCCCACCTTTGGAGGATTGTAAGACTCCGTCTTGTGTGAGACAATCTTTAAGTTGTGGCGCAACTTACACAAGCTTTTGTTTAACCGCCTTCTGCATTTGCGGAAATCCTCAGGGCTTGTAAGCGAGTCGCTCAACCGAGCACCAAATGTAGACCCCAAAGGGCTTGCGATTGACATTAGTGAAGATTCAAGAACCTATTCCAGTCAACGACTTTTTTTTTCCACTCCAAAGCGCAGGTGCACGGGTGCAGGTTTTACTTCACTTTAAGACTGGCAAGGTTGGGAGCATTTTATTTCATGCAGCGACATCCACCATCATAAAATCCTATGGAATCAATAACTTCAGGCAGCCTTGATATCTATGAGGAGTTTGGTGTTCCCGAAAATGCTAGTTCGCGAGAGATCACTAAAAGGTATAGAACTTTGGCCCTCAAGTACCATCCTGATAAAAACCCAACCAAAGAAGCTAGAGACAAATTTGATTTGGTCTCGTTGATCTACTCCGTTCTCATCGATAGCCAGCTACGGCATCATTATGACAATGTGCGAAAAAACCTAATCAGACACATTGGAGTAAGCGAAGAGGCCCTGCAACAAATTCGGAAGTTCCGAGAGGAGCTTGAAAAGGCTGAAGCAGCAGGGAAGGCGCAAAGAAAGAATCCCAAAAACTCGTCGGGCGATATACAGCTCGAACAATTGCGTTTGGAGGGCCTTGAATATAGAAGACATTTCCAACAGAAGCACGCATCCACGCCAGGTTATGTCTCTTTCCGAGAGCTCATTAGCGATGGGCCATTTACACATTTCCTGGAAGCTGATCCATGCACTAAAGTAACAGTCAGATGGAAGTACAAGAGTGAAGCGCAGATTGACGATGGTCTCTTACAGGAAATTATGTCTCGATTCGGAAATGTTTTGAGCGGATGCGTAGATAAATGTGACGACCTGTACTGTCAAGGCACGGTTGTTTTCGAGAGCGATGAAGCTGCAAGTGAAGCTGTGCATCATGATTATAGAAAAAGCGCTACTTTATGGGATGGGACTCGTGTGAGAAAACTAGCAAGCTTGCTCCGAGAGTGCAAGCTCCAGCTCGCTTTAAGTTACGAAAACGAGTACGCAGAATCGCTAATTCGCCAGTTGGCGCATTGAAACGAGATTAATAATGTATTATACGAGGAGGATACTTAGTTGATGTAGAAGTAAACACCTGCAGCCAAAGCCACAACCGCAAGAGCAATAACTGGGAATGGCAAACCACCAGCCTCGGTTCCGCTTCCAGAAGTGGTGCCGGCTTGCTCAACAACAACGCCGCCTTCAAGCTTACCAATCAACAAACCCTTCAAGATGTCGTGGGCATCGTCAGAGTGACCGATGTCGTTGAACGCTTCGGTGGCATCTGTTCCCGCACAGTCCACAATAACTTCTTCTCCACCTGGGTGCTCGTCCAAGTATGGGGTGACATCATAAACCTGGCCGTTGTAGACAATCCACAAGTCGTCAGTTGTGTTATGTTTCTTGACTTCGTCAATGGTGTATACTTTCAATTCAGTTTCGGACATGGCAGATGAGGATGCGAGGGATTATAAAAAATGGGAACCACAAATTACTGGGGCAAACAGCGAAACACTAGTGGGTGAAGGTGAAACACAAAGCGTTCTCGCCATGTGAAGTAGAAAAAATGTTGGCGAGCCTGTATACATGACCCAATCATGTTATCGGCATAGGTAAACCGAGCGCACATGTTAACTCGTTTAGGCATAAACTCTGTAAGAATTCATGCACTCGCAAGACCAAAATGCACTCTTGATGCGCATCCTATCTTCTTGCGTTTTCTATTTTCCATTTTCAATCTTCCATTTCTTCCCCGTGGTTGGCCATCTACAACAGCCGCACTGGTGATTTCTGTTTCCAATCGTACATTCGTATACGAACGATATGCGACAACGACATTACTAGAAACTGCATCTGATTGCATGCGCATTCGTACATGTTATCACTCTTTTCCTTTGCAATATATATATTAACTCTTGAGTCTCACCCACAGACATTAAGCTTCTAAAGCTGGGACTCTAACTTCACCAACAAACTGTAAGTCTCGCGAGGCATTTTGTATTGGATCATTCCAGCGTAGATCATACAGTTTTTAGCAATGGCTTTCAAACGCTCCGATTCGCTTCTTTCCGCCTCACTAACCCCGAATTTCCTGGTCATCACCGAGTGATTGATTTGAGAGACGCATGTCATAACTATGATCAACAACGAGGGCACAACCTTCACAAGGGCAACATCGAAAGTCGTAAGAGATTCCGCTGCCTGTCTCACTTCAACAAAGTCATCATTGGCAACTATTGGGACCAAGCCCAATTTCTTGACCGAATCCAAAGTTGCATGCCAATCTTTGCTCACAAACTGTTCGCGGACATCAACAATGGACAATAAGATGTCAGCAATTTCTCGTTGTTTAGCTGAGATTTTTTCCAAAATGTTGCTGTTGTTTGCAAATACCTTCATAATGTGCTTGCTAAGCAAGATGATGTTGTTGTCAATCGTTTCTTCTGGCTTCATCTCCCCTGCTGGTGTCTTGTACTCTGCTCTAGTCAAGAGTGGCTTGTCTAACTCAGTCATCGACAACACTTCGCTCAAGAGTTTATTGATCAATGTAACCACAGTATTATGCTCTTGGCAAAGTTGATAAAGGCGTAAGGCATCGAAAATCCTTCCTTCCTCCTCGCATCTTTTAGCAGTAACTTCGACGATTTGATGGTAGAAGTTATCTAAACTGGGCAAATTGATTAGTGAGCGTTGCTTTTCTAAAATACCTGGAACTTTGTCACCGTTCACTTGGTTGAGTTCGCCCAATAAAGGACCAAATTCTCTCGATATGAGAATAAGCTCGCGCAATGCTTCGTGACATTTTGCATTTTCCTTCTTGGATTGTCCACCCATGGGTAAACAAATAAGAACAAGGTATTGCGCTGCAACTTTCGGATCACTGATCTTGAATGTTCTTGTGTAGGACCCAAGAAGTCTGCTAAAGTTTATTTCATAAACCTCCGAATTGAGAGTTATCAACTCGTCTGTATTCGATGTACTCACCCTCAACAACCCATAGTAACATAACCCGATGGCTAAATGTACTGCATCACATTCGTTGCTGTAGTCGTAAATGTACTTTACCGCCAATTCATATAGGCCTAGCATCACCAAAGTTTTGGCATACAGGGGATTGTTAGAGGATGCATTGAATTTATCTGCCCCGATCGAAATGACTTTTCTTTGCAAATTCTCCAACGTATAATTCTCAAAAATCAAACTCGATGACGCCTCTGGGTTGAATTCATTGATAAGCTGCAAATGGAACCACAACCAATCCTCAATACTTAAATTAATGGCGCTAGGTAATGATTTCTTCGCCAAGTCACATTTGCCAATTATTTTGTAGACGGCATATTTGTAAGGATCAAAGTTAGTTGAGTCTTCGTTCAAAAACTGGAAAGTTTGACTAAAGTCGCTAGATAATCTTTCTTGCAAGTCACTGGGCAAGCCGAAGCAATTGGATCTGACGTAAGAGCTCAAATATACGGGGAAATTGCTGTCAAACTTCTCGAAAATGCTCTTATTAACCTTCGTAAGCTCGACTGCTTCATCGTAAAGGCCACTTCTCAATAAGTAGAATAAAAGGGCCCAGATTGGTACACCATTGATGTTCAAGGTGCGTTCCATGTATTCAGCATCATTGTTCATCGCTATGACTTTCTGGATGAAAAAAGTAACCTTATTAATGTTACTGGGAGGAAGAAGTTCAGGTGATTTCTTGTCCTCCTTTGTGTAAATTTCGTCAATATAATTGAAGAATTGTTCCTCAAGATGCTTCCTAGAGCTCCCGACAATTCTCATTTTAAGTTTCAAGTCAACAGTGGAAGAATTGTACATGTTCAAGAATAATTGTTCCTGATTGACCTTGATAAACTTTTCGTTACACAAGTCGCTTATGATTCTCCACACTTCACTCATTTGTTTAGATTTTAAATCTGTGCTAGTCTTACTCAATTCCTCGAAACTCAAACTGATAGGGAATGGCTTGTTTTGTAAGCGAGCTTCATTGAGGTGGTACACCACCTTAGCATGACTCTCAAACTTTTCTCTACTAATTTGCCTCGTGTGTGAAGATGATTCTTTTGTCGACAATGGAGTTAGAACACGGTAGCTCCCAGGCAACGACTTATTCCAATTAAAGGACTTGGCCAATTCTTCATTCGTGATTTTGCTCTTGGTGGGGATTCCTAATGATTTTTTGAGGTGCTCCTTACGAACTTTCCAATCGATTGCAATTTTTTGGTTAATGAAGAGATCAAAGTCCTTCGATGCAGCGGCAAGTGATTGTTCGATTGCACTCAAGATGCTCTCGTCTTTCTTTGCAATAAGATAATTCTCAATGCTCTCTGGTTTGGTGTAATTCTGCTCTACTCGTGACAATGAGGTGGATTCGGGATGATCTTGCTTCATATGAGTACTGGTTGAGGTTGCACTTGGGATCCTTCTTAACTCATTTTCAATGTCAGCAGCATTGATACCGCTTGCCGACAACAAGTAATGCGCTTGCGTATAATTTCCTTTGTACTTTTCGTTCGACCTCAACTTTTCAGTCCGCTTCTGTAACTCGCTCAATGGTAAATGGATGTAGCCCAAGTGGCCATTGTCCACTTTAGGCAAATTGTTAGCAGAATCCAACAAATCACGCAAAATCTTGTTCGATGACGAATCTGGAGTTATTTCAGAAGGCAAAGTTTGTGATGTGGATTTACCACCAAAATTGGATTCCGGTAAAGTTGATGCTGCTGAGTTCATTGATCCGTTCATCGATGGCTGTTGATTTTGGTTTTGTTGTTGTGTTTGTGGTACAGAAGGCGTAGAGCCGAATGAAAACCCAGTTGATCCATTTTGCTGAGTCGGAGGCTTAGATCCAAAGAGAGACATGACTGGATTCAAAATGGCTCTGGTAAGTCTTCGAGTATGAACAATTTAAAAAACAAAAGACCCATCCACCACTTCGCGTTTGCTTAGAAAGGTTACCCGCCAAAAAAATTAGTACTTAAGAGAGGCATCTACTGCATCGGTTGGAATTTTTTTTTTTTTCTTCACTTTGTCCAAAAGTAATCCATCACATTAGACAGTGCATCTTTATAGTCAGAAGGTTGCTTCTGGTTTCGAGGCAGTTTTTGTTGAGAACCAATTTAGCTACGTCTGACACTTATTGTATTTGAATGCGATAGCTGATGGAGAGAGTGAAGTGGATCTTTTAAGAACCTGTCTGGATCGAAAGATTTGAAAGAGAGGTGTCAGGAGATCCACACATTGTAATATTTCTATCTATTTTTTATTTTTTTTTTTCTTTTGCTACTTTATCGATGTTCTTAATCAAATATCGAAGCGACTACACAACTACAGTAGGCAAGTGTTCAAAAGATTCTATTATGTGCAAGAATTAAATTGTTATGTTAAAAATCAAATCAACTTTTAGACCCTTGACGACGTCAAAATTATAATTTTTGAAGGCAAACATCGGGGAATTCTTCTTCCTCGTTGTTCCCGAGGCCACCCGCGAAATGCTCTCTGCAAGAATACTTTTTGATTGGGAAGAACCAGTAACCCATAGCTAGAACAAAGTAAACTGCATAAACTACGGAAACGTAGTTCATACTTCCTGCTGTGACAGGCATGAAAGTAGGGAAAGAAAAGAAAACAACGGCAAAAATAGTCCAACATATAGTGATGATGTTTGCAAAAAGACCAACTTTGCCTAACCAGAAACATCCATGTTTGATGTTCAGACGGCCCCTGTACAATAAGCACAATGTAGGAACAGTGTAACTCAACAAAAGGAAAGTAATGCAGCCAACAACCATTGAATTGAAAGCAGTACTGGAAACCAAGTATAAAGCACCCAAGATGGCCACAATCACAGAGGAGAACAAGTGGGCATTAAATGGAACACCGAGGTTAGGATCAATGATCGACAAGTATTTGGAGAATGGCAAACCGTTGTCTCTAGAAAAAGACCAGCACAATCTTGCTTGCCATGTATGCGATGAGATGGTACAGCCACAGCCTGTGATGAAAATTAACAGACCCAAGCAAAGTGCACCGGCCTTATTGTTTAAAGCCTGGTAGTAAATGTCCAAAATCGGAAGACCAGTACCTTTGTTAATGATATCATCCAAGTTTCTGATGCTGAAAAACATCGAAATGGCATATGGCAAAGAGGTGAGCAAGCCGATGGTGACCGTACCAATGATGGCAATTGGAATCACCCTGTCGGCGCCATGCACCTCTTCCGCCAAATGCGAGGCCGAATCAAGACAAGAAAAACTCCAGTTAGGATTAACCAAACCCACGATAAAGGCAATACCAGCAGACTTCCATCCCGTGTTGTTTTCAAATGTGACGAAAACAAAGTCTGCAGTGTTGAAATGATTCCGAGCACAGGTCAAAACGGTGATGGTAATAACAGTGAAGGAAAATAACGAAACGTACAATGCGCCATTGGCGATGAATGGCAAAAACTTACCATAGCAGTTAAAAATGAACAAGAAGACGTTGATCAACTGGTATGTGACAAAAAGCTGCCACGGCTTTGTAACATGGTTTGGATGCGTCAAGTTCCAGAAACCTAAAACTGTCTGGGCCATACTCAAGGCCATCGAAGCTGATGTGAACAAAGATCCTGCCCATGCCAAAGAGCCACAGATGTATGCCAAAAAACTGGAATATTTTCTTGGAGACAAAACACGAGTCCATACATATTGACCTCCAGCAGAAGGAATAGCACTAGAAAGCTCAGAAAGTGTAATTCCGACACAGTATGATATGAAAGCAATGATGATAATACCGTACACAATCAAAAGAGGACCACCTGACTGAATGCCTGTAATTAACGAAGCAGAAATACCAAACCAAGAGTTTGTCAAACCAAAACCAATACCTAACACAGACCAAACAGAGAATGTTCTTTTAAGTTCACCTTTATGTTGGCTGGAGCTGTCAGAAGAGGCACATTTTTCCTGGTCGCTATTGAACACGGAAAGAGAAACATCATTTTTTTTCTCGAGTGAGTCGCTCATCGTGATGCGAAGGGTATCTAAGGATGGGAGCCTGCCGGAAACAATGTACTATTTGGTAAAGGTTGGTACAGTGAAAAAAAGGAAGTCTGAAAAATATCGGAATTTTCACGTTTCTTATCCTTTCTGAGGAAAAAGATCCCATTTGTTCATGCAAGTCTGCAGATGCGTGCACGATTAGGTTTTATGCAGGTTTTCTGCTCTAATCATGACCCAAAGTAGTTTACAGAGTCAGTCGAATTACTTCCATATTGCGACATCACTTGCATCTATCGTTGAGGAGAATAGCTCATGTTTCTTTTCGGTATTAATGGCTTACTGCCTCGAGTTTTCCCAGCCTTTTACTGAAAACTTATTATGAGCGATTTTGCTGACGGAAATTTTCACATGCATTTTTTAGATTTGACGTTTTGGGCGCGCGTCTGATTAATGTCGTGAGATCAACCACTCATAGTCATTCCTTCGCTGAAGTGTTGAGATGCCTTTCCATTAAGAGGCATACCTGAGCGTGCTCAAAACGGAAGCGTTTTGCATTATGCAAATCCATGTTGTGCCAGTATAGGATGGAACTATTTCTTGTGTGACTTTCGATTAGATCCCGTGACCATCAGACACTTTGCAAAAAGAGCTGAAGACATTCTAGTAGTTCGGATATTCATTCCATGTGCCCTTGGGAGATTCTGATACCAGACCTTCTATCGAAGGATTCGCTAATTTGCAAAATTTGAAGACTCAACCTGCCATCAGATGTCACGAGCGTGACAATTTTGGTTCACAGAGTTGAAATTGGATACTTTGCTCTATAAAATTTATGGTTTCTCTTGAGGCGGGATTTCTCTTCTCTTCGTACTAGCTTCCATTATTGTAGAAATGTCAAGACATACAGTATGGCGTATCCTTATGGTATCATTTCGGAATTATTATATCCTTTGGCTGATTCGCATTCCCTCGTAACAAGAAATGACGGATTTCCATGCTTAAACGAGGGAAAATTAGCATTGCTGATTCCTCACACTCATATTTATTGGGGCTACACTTTGTACTAGTGTTTGTGTGTATTTGTCAGTCAATTTTGCAATTTTTCTATCCGATGTTCTTTTGATTTTTTTTGTTGTCTCGTACATTGGCTGGCCTAGTTTACAGTCATCACACCAAATTCTCATTTTGGCGCAATAATCATTTCTTGCACAAAAACGCCTTGCATCATCGCTCTATTGAAGGATCATTTTTCACATTCTCCCCAATTTCTTTTTACCTCTTTTCCACACGTTGGCTACTACATATAGATTCTCCGCAATTATATTTGACGAAAACGTCAATTATTCTGTTACTTGGCAAGCGAAGCAAAAGAATAGTGGAATAACCGCGATTTTGTAATACAGGACCTACTCCACCATACAAAACTGTTCTAGCCTAGTTTCTTCCATCACCACCATTTTCCATTCTCCAAAATGCAATACGTTGGAAAGATGGGCGATTACGTCTACAACCAGTGGAATTCCTTGAACCCGGCTACTCTTTCTGGTGCAATTGATATCATAGTAATTGAACAGCCCGATGGTTCTCTTCACTGTTCACCTTGGCATGTCAGGTTCGGCTTGTTTCAAATCATCAAGCCGCTGGAGAAGAAGATCGTTTTATACGTTAATGATATAAAAACAGACTTACCCATGAAGCTCGGTGAAGGAGGAGAGGCGTTTTTTGTGTTTGAGACTGACTCCAGGGATGTGTCTCAATCTGTGGTGACTTCTCCCGTAGTAAGTCCCGAGAAATCTCCTTCGGGTTCGCCGGAGTCCACTCCTGGCCCCGGAAGAAGTGAACCGGATCTATTAGACTTGAATCAATCTGCAGCTCAGCTCAATGATATCGACTCGAAGATTAAGCTTGAGGATTCGCCTGCGCCGGAACATGATCTTCTCTCTAACTCACCAAGCTCTAGAAGATCCACCCAGATGCTGCGAATAGCATTTGAGAGAGCAAAGCAAATCACAAAAAAACTTAATATTCCATCGAAAATTGATGTCAATGGAGATATGGTGCTTGATATGGATGGATACCAACCAAACTCACAAAAGAACATTGATCTGTCCGATGAATTATTACAAAAAGTCTTTTTGAAAGAAATGAATACACTTTTGAACGGTAAGGAATATCATTATGCTCCAGAAAACGCACACGAACATACCAATGATGACGAGGAGTACAAATTTCTCCAAGGCGTGATCATGAAAGACAAAGATGGCAAACTCCGTATCATCAACAGAGATACAGACTTGGGCCTTGATGATCCCGGCAATCCTACATCTTCAGATCTGAGTCCATTGTCTGAAGGTGGAAGTAATAGCCCCGAACCTACGGGCGAACAAGCCCCTGTTCAAGGAGAAAAAGTCTACATTAAGACTTTGAGGTTGACATCTGACCAATTAAAAAGCATGAATCTTAATTATGGGCGCAATAAGATAAAGTTTAAGCTGACATCGGGAAGCTCTCAAGTGGAAGCAGATTTGTATCTTTGGAAATCTACTACTCCTATTGTTATTTCAGATATCGACGGAACGATTACCAAGTCGGACGCATTGGGCCATGTGCTCAATATGTTCGGAAAAGATTGGACACATCCGGGCGTTGCTAAATTGTTTTCTGATATCAGCAGAAACGGATACAACATACTTTATTTAACAGCGCGGTCTGCTGGACAGGCAGACACAACACGCCAGTATCTCCACAGCATCGTGCAAGATGGCTACAAGCTACCCAAAGGACCTGTTATTCTCAGCCCCGACAGAACCATTGCAGCCTTGAAGCGGGAGATTATCTTGAAGAAACCTGAAGTCTTCAAAATGGCATGCCTTCGTGATATTAAAAGCTTATTTTTCAGCAAGCAAGGCGAGCATCCAGATATTGATGACGACAGAACTCCATTCTACGCTGGCTTCGGAAATCGTATTACGGATGCCATCAGTTACAAAAGTGTAAAGATTCCATCGCACCGGATTTTCACCATTAATCCTGTTGGAGAAGTGCACATGGAGTTATTGGAACTTGCAGGGTATCGTTCGTCGTACTTACACATTGGGGAGTTGGTGGACTGCTTCTTCCCCCCTTTGAAGTACATTAGCGTTTTCAATGACAATTGGGACGAGAAGCAACTCAACCAGTATATGGACAGCAAGAGTCGCCCAGACGATGCTGCAGATCTCCAAGGACCAGAATCTCCAAGATCCATCGCTTGTCCAGGATCCCCAAGAAGTATCAGCAGCTACCCAGAGGAGGTTCCTTTGGTTCATGATGAAAAGTTCACAGACTGAGAACTACTGGAGAGAACCAATACCCAATATTGACGATTTGAGTGATATGGAAGAAGATGGAACGGCCACAAGCCCCGCTAAATCCCCTCCACACTCACCTAAATTGTTATCGTCACCACGGGTAATTCAGACCATAGTTAATAACCTGCATGAACCGGCAAGCCCAACACCTGCCCCCAAAAATGACCGACCATTGTCTATGTCTTTCAATTCTCCGTTAAAAAGCTTTATGATGCGAGGCAAACCACAATCTGCAGTTGCAGGGCAAACAGAGAAAGTGGCTAACGAAGACGAGGAGGACGAAGAAGATGAAGAAGAAGATATGGACGAATACGAGGACGACTATACGGATGACTATGATGATGACTATACAGGAGAAGAAGATGAAGATGAAGATGACGATGACTACGATGAAGAGGAAGAGGAAGAAAACGAAGATGTGGACGTTGATTATCAAGATGACTACGAGGAAGATGAAGATCACATAGATGAAGTGGACGATGAAGATATCGATCAAGAAGCCGAAATAGACATGAGAGCGGAATCAAAGGAAGACGCGGAAGGGTGGCCAAGGAATCGCAGTACTCCAGTGCACATCGTAAAAGCCACAGATGTACTTCGGGACTTAAAATTGAATTGAGTTACTTCCATGCAGGAAGATTAGCCAATGTCGATTCTGCCGTTGCACATTGTTGGTGAACGCGCGCCTTGCGTCGAATATCCACAAAATACCGGAGTCCAGGCTGCACGCTGGAACTGGAAAAATCACTCATGGCTCGGCTTGCTTACTTGCCTTCTATTTTTTTTTTTCTTATTTTTTTTCTGGTGTGAGCCGCATACATCTATATGCGGAAAGTGTTTAAGGTTTTATAATCACGTTCAATTAGGCGGCATTCATTTTCATGTTTGGACGTGTTGCATGTGAAAGCGTGCCGTAGGTTATTTGCGGTGACATTTTGGTTAGTGACATAGTCGCTGGAAGCTATGTGGGATGTCAAGATTCTTGCCGCATGGTTATACTGGTATGCAGTATTCACAACAACAATAAAGACAAAAACTATATCTTACATAACTGACAGACTTTGCTTCATCGCCCCGGCATCGAATATATAACATCTTAAAAGGACCACTCAAAATAGCCACATGAGGATGATGGGACACGCCATATGTATCTACTAACCGTTAAATTATCGTTAATAGTTGTTGGGAAATTGCAAGAGCTAGCTGCGGAAATCCAGCATGCAGTTTGCATATGTGGTCCGACACATAATCATCTGGCAACTCATGATACGCGCACATCGGTGTATATACCAGCTAGGGGTTATCTGCATAAAGCATCATATAAATGCAAGAGGGCATGCCGTCCAAGATGGAGGCCTTTTTTTTTTCTCCCCATGCATTCTGCATCTTCTGATCAAGCTGTTCCAATACATTTCACTAAGTAAAAACCTTCCTACGAAGGTAATGACCAAAGGAAAGAATCAGCTCTTTGCTGCTTTTTTGCTAGCTATTGTTGGATTGATTTCAGTCTTACATTATTCTGGCTACTCACTCCTTTTATCTCGAGATGAAATAAATGTTTCAAATGAGGTTTCCGTCCTTGATGGGCTGAACGGTACTCTTCCATTGATTATACCGAGCTACTTAATACGAAAGGAGGAAATAAAGAATTTGGATGCTCTTTTGCAAAAAACCCCAAACTACAAAGAAGAGTATAAACTTTATGGTGCTGGAAAGGAAAAGATTTTCCCAGAACGCACAAACCAGATTTCAGACTACTCGTCTGTTTTCCATGACTTCAAATCCGAGAAAATCAATATTTACGACTCCTTTACTAATATCGAAAAGAATATTGACAACTGTGGCAAGTTGGAGTCCGAAATGCGATTTTCAGTTTCCAACGAACATGAGATCCAAACTCCTATGGATGAAATTGTTGAAGGCATTGTGAAAGCTATCGAGGAGGGAGATGAATATGCAAAGGACTTGGAGCCATACTTCGCTAAACAAGTGCGTTTGCAATTGAAGCACGGTGTTACCGACAGATACTGGTTTAGATTGGCTGGTTCGTCTGTGTGGCTCAAGGATTATGGTGTGCATTATATGGTGTCGAGACTTGTCTACAGTGACCGTGCTCAGAGAAACCATCCAAAATTCTCTGTCGCCTATGTTCAACTTTTTGACGACGATTGGAAAGAAATCAAGACAAATTTGCTTGTTCCAACTAACTTTGGGCCCAAGAAGAACAAGAATGCAATCGAAATCGACGGCGAACCATACCTTGTAAAACACTATCCACTGATCTTACCTGTTCCATTAAGACTCGATACAGGCAAAGACTATCAGGGCCCGGAGGATCCTAGAATGATTCTTGTCAAGAATGAAAGGGGTCACGAGGAACCTTTGATTATTTATAACATAGACCATCCAAAAATGGGTACGTCTAAGGATGAGAATGGTACCGAGTTTGAGGAGATGAAAAACTACCGTAACATGTGGATCAGTTGGCCTTGGCAATTTCAAAAAGGAAAATTCAATATTGATGCCAAAGACATTCCTGAGTTTGAAAATCGTCTTTTCAACAGAGCTAATGAACTTAGAATCAAAAATACCGAACGTCAGGGGAGTCAAAAGAACTGGACTCCAATGATCAGTCACACTTTGAGAGAGTACCATGGTTACGATAAAGAAATTTTGGTTGTGACGCGATGGTCTGAACTCGAGGTTTTGAAGTGTGATATAACGTCTGATGACTCTCAATGTCAATATATGCTTCGAGATGATGGCCCTCCGATTAAGAATGATGTGGGTCCACTTAGAGGAGGAACTGCAATGATCAATGTGAACGAACTTATCGCTTCGCAGACCAATGCTCCAGTTCACCGTTTTATTAAGAAAGGAAGAGAGATTTGGGTTGGATTTGCAATGAGCCCACTTCAAATGGTGTGGTTGTGGCCTGAGTTTCTACAGGCCAAACTTTGTTGTGATCACACTGGATTTGATCACCGATAAGGATAACACTGTCCGCCAAGTTTTCACATTGAGTCATGTATCAAGCTTCATGTCTTTCTACGTTGACATTATTCCGTGGGTTCGTGATCGTCCTGACTTGGTTTGCAAAGATCCAAACGTGTTGATCCCTAATGGAGTTGGTTTCTGGAAAATTTCTGACTTGGAAAAGTCGCCAGACGGATCAAAGTGGAAAGGTTGACGATATGCTTACCTTGCTCTTCTCGGTGTCTGATACTTCTGTGAGCGTCCTTAAGGCAAGAGGTTTCTTGGAAGGATTGATCAACTTATCTCAGAACTCTCCATTCAATCGTGTAGAGGATATTCCTGAAGGCCACTTCTTGGATGAAGATTCAGATCCAGATGCCCCTCCTCCACCAACAACCGAGTATGGAGCTAGCAATGATAACGTTGATTGCAGTTTGGAAGATTCTAAGAGGTTTTGCCGGGTTTACGGAGATAAGCATCCATTTGATAAGGAGGAGTACGAGAAGCAGGAAGAAGAACACCCTACTCCTCCTATTGTTGACAAACAATTGGAAGCGTACAAAGCGGAGCTTGATGGCAAATAGTACATTTAATAGAACATTGCATGACGAATTATTCACAAAGACCGCTTTGGTGAGTAAGCATTCGTAATCTTTTATACTGATGCTCTTCACCAAGTAGTTTAGTAAAGGTTTTGCTACTAGTTTGTATTGAGCAAAAAAAAACTCCGATACGGGGAATCGAACCCCGATCTGCTCGGTGAGAGCGAACCGTGATAGCCATTACACTATATCGGATTTCTTGAAAGCTAAAATTTGTCAGAAGAATCAGTCTCTCATATAGAGAAACTGTGATTGAGGTATGGTATATTCTCTAACAGAGACTCTCGATTATCTAAGGTGATACTTTCTTCACTCGTACGATTATAAACAAAGTCAATTGTGACTCAAATACGCAAAGGGTGCATGCAGATCATCATACAATTTTCAACTTTATTCTTAGATTTCGTCTGTATGTTGAAGTTTACTATTGGATATTTTCAATCAGATTCTCGTATATCCACAAAGGAAACGCGAGTGTGTGTACTTTTTTTGGACGCAACACAGTGCATATGCATAATACATTAAACAATCTTCCCTTCTGCATGGGCATTTCTATATTTTTTAGCCGTATATAAGCTGATCTTCGATAAGTGCAGTATATTCTAGGTGATTTAGAACCCAATCAAGTTTCATTTCCCAATCAACATTAGCGTTTTTAATTGTTCAAGAAACGAGCCAATAGTGCAACAATTCTTTAACAATAATCAGGACTCGCTCGATTCTATAATTATATGACTACTTGTTGGATGAACCGGATTTGATAAAAACAGAAGTACTGTTGTGGCCTTTTAAAAATCACTTTGAGGGGCACCCCGATATTCGTATCATTGAAGACTGTAATGGATTAAACTCTACTCCAAAAAATAAGTATTTGACAAGACATATGGCACAATATACTAAAACTCACGAAGCGGGGTGGTTGGTGTAATGGTTAGCATTTCTGCCTTCCAAGCAGGAGACATGGGTTCGATTCCCGTACCACTCATTTTTTTTGGGGAATGCTTCCCCGTAAGTCCAGTGCTTGTTTTTCTTTTTTTCTTTTCTCTTTTTTACTTTCTCTTTGTACCACCAAGCAACTCATTTCAGGTTGAACCCTTTGGCCTCATTTAGTTTCTGACAAATGGGAACTGATGTGTCATGTACGAAGCTGCATGATCCGGAAACGTTTCCCTTTTGGCGCCTCACGCGTTTACTTCAAATGCGGAGATATACCTCACTGCTGGCATTATAAAATCGATGAACCCCACTCCTAATGTCTACCTAAACAAAATAATTACAGTACGCAATGGTCAATCACTTTTCTCAATTGAAGGGCTGGAGATACCGCAAATTAGGTGAGGATCTGTGGAATCAATCAGCTCCGAAGGCATGCACTGAAATTCATGCGGATTTGCTCCACAATAAAGAGATACCTGATCCTTTTCTTGACATGAATGAGAAAGAGATTCAATGGGTTGGAGAGACAGATTGGGAGTACTACACAGAATTTGATGCAGCTAAAGAATTGGAGAAGTCGGCTCACGTTCAGTTGGAATTCCAAGGTTTGGACACTTTTGCTACCGTATATGTCAATGATGTTAAGATTTTGACTACTGAGAATATGTTTGTCTCACACAAAGTTGATGTGAAAGATATTCTTCACTATGGGAAAAATAATATCATCAAGATCTCTTTCAAGAGTGCTTTGAAAGTTGCACGGGATTTGGAAAAGATTCATGGCGCGGGAGTTTGTTGGAACGGAGAAAGCTGCCGGTTGCAAATTAGAAAAGCTCAATACACTTTTGGATGGGATTGGGGACCAATAGTCATGACTTGCGGCCCATCGAAACCGATTTTGCTTCACGCTTTTGACAACGCCATCGAAGATGTATTTGTGGATGTTTGCGTTGATGATGAGCTTAATGCGGACATTAATGTGCACATATCACTTGTAACTTCGCAGAAGGTGGAAGCCAAGATCTCTGTGGTTTCACCTGATGGAGCAATTGTGAAAGAGCAAGTGAAATCTGGGATAGGCTCAGGCACACACTCTGTCCATGTCTCTATCGAGAAGCCGAAATTATGGTTCCCATGGACTATCGGGACACCTAACCTCTACACTTTCAAAGTTGAGATTGTAGACAGTAATGGAATCGAAGACCGTTTTGAAAAGAAGATAGGTCTTCGTAAGGTTGAACTTGTACAAGAACCCGTGGAAGACGAAAAAGGCACGAGCTTCTATTTCAAAGTAAATGGAACTCCAGTGTTTTCTGTTGGAGCCAACTGGATTCCAGCTCACTCCATTCCAACCTTGCTTTCAGAAGCAGACTACACCCAATGGCTTGAATTAGCAAAGATGGGAAACCAAAACATGATTAGAGTTTGGGCTGGAGGATTTTACGAAACAGATGTATTCTATGACGAGTGTGACAGATTAGGAATCATGGTTTGGCAAGACTTCATGTTTGCATGTGGGCAATACCCAGCGTATGACAGTTTTGTTGAAAACGTCAAGCTGGAAGTCCATCTGCAACTACTCAGATTGAGGAATCACGCATGCTTAACACTTTTTGCTGGGAATAATGAGGATTATCAGATCGCTGAACAGTCTTGTCTAGAATGGGATCCTCATGATCATTCTGGGGATTACAGCAAGACTCTGTTTCCTGCCCGAAAAATCTATGAGATTGTTCTACCTAAGCTAATGAAAGATTACTTACCATCAGTTCCATACCATCCAGGCTCACCATGGAGTGGAGATCTTCCTACATTTGACCCTACAGTGGGCGATTTACATCAATGGAATGTCTGGCACGGCAGTCAGGAGAAGTATCAGGACTGGTACAAGCTTGGAGGTCGCTTCGTATCTGAGTTTGGGATGGAAGGACTTCCATGTATGCAAACATTCAAAGACTGTATCACAGATGAGAAGCAAATTTATCCTCAAAGTGAGTATGTGGACCATCATAATAAAGCTGATGGATTCGAAAGGAGATTGGCGCTCTATGTGATTGAAAAATATCAAAATGTCATCATTTGATATGGAATCTTGGATTTATGCCACGCAATTGATGCAAGCTGAGTGTTTAGCTTATGCGTATCGATGTTGGAGAAGAAACTGGAAGCACGATGGGAAGAGGAGTACGGGAGGAATTTTAGTATGGCAGCTCAATGACTGCTGGCCGACTACATCGTGGGCTATCGTTGATTTTTTCAAGCGTCCTAAACTCGCTTATTACGCAGTGAAAAGAGAATCGCAATCAATTTCAATCGGTATGTATAGAAATGTTCATGGCAAAGAGGACAACGAGCATGCCATTGGAAAACCACACGATTACAAAAAACATTCATACAGCCTTGATATATGGGGGGCTAATGCGCAATTGGAGGATGTGTCTGGCCATTTGAGTGTTTCTCTTTACGATGTTGAATCGGGAAAAAAGTTATCCACTCTAGTCGATCAAAAGGTCACTATTAAAGCCAATGGCGTTTCTGAATTTTTCTCCAAACTCAAGCTTCCCCAGGATGGTCATGTGGTAGTATACGCCCGTTTCGTGGATTCTGTTGGAAAGATCACAACAACAGCCGATTGGCCTCAGCCATTGAAGTATTTGCTGATGCCAGATCGCAACGTTTCTGTCAAAGTTTGTGAAGGATATCTCTTATTATCAGCAGAAAAGCCTACGAAGTCAGTTGAAATATTGCTTAACGACCGTGTCTTGGAAGATAATGGTTTTGATCTTTTCCCTGGTGACGATAAGAAGGTACACGTTGAGGGCCTTAATTCACACGAGAAAGTGGCTATCAGGTATTATCAATAACGACGGAAATTCCGTATAATTCAGATAAGCCATGATGACATATAAAGGAGTAGACGAGTATCCGAAATGTACATTTTCAGCCTATTTCTGGGATGATCTGTAAACTCACAAAAATCGTCGTGCTGAAACTATGTTCGAAGAAACTTGAACAGCAGGGTTGACATTTTTAGTCCATGTGGAGTAAGTGCTTTGTTGTCATTATTATGATATAAGAGTTAAGATTTCGTCTTTGCTTTCCTGAACAAGCCAGTCAAAGATTCACGGGAATTGGAGTACTGCTATCTTCAATGCAAATGGTACAGTTCCTTTCTCCTTTTTAGACAAAATGTTTCAAAACCTGGGGGTTCATATCATCCTGGAGTTACTCTATAGACAATTCAGGGGTTATTTCATACTTAAAAAAAGGAATGTTCGTCTATATTCTCAAAGGCATATTTTATGGATTTTCGCTTACTACATTCCTTAGATCCAAATGTACGATTCATGACGTAGGCATCTGGTCTTCCTAGAGACGGCCGATTCTCGGAACTGATTTCATATAGACACATATTGGTTTCATTTCTCTCTTTACTGCATTGTTAATAGTCCATACTTCCACTTCCCTCCACGATTATTCTCAGGACACACTTCCGCAGAAGGTAACATTGTGATAACAAGCCAGTAAACTGACAAAAATAAAATTCTACCTCAACGCTATGGAATAATAGATAAATAGCGATAACAAGTACAACAGTAAAAGAGGACACAACCAGAAAGAATGATAATTTAGCACATACAAAAATGGTGGTTAATCCTGTCCATACGCCCATGTGGCCCTAAGCTAACCCGCCCTCAAAGAAAACCTGCACACACAAATCCATCGGGATATTTGCCCATTTTGTTCGCGCAACCTTTTTCTCTTTTTCTTAAACAACAATGTCCGACGAATACCCAGACGCTGGATCCCCATCCCAAGACTTCGACGCTTCTATCCAAGACCGTTCCCCTTCGCCTGCTGCTGAAGAGCGTGCTCAAGGAACAAATGCTCCTCAGTCTACAGAGCCAAACAAGCTTTTCGTCAGACCTTTGGGTTACGAAACATCGCGTGAGATGGTTGAAGCCCACTTCTCTGAGGTTGGTCCTCTTGTGGATGTGCAAATGATGCGCGGCTACGCTTTCATTACTTATGAGAACCCTCTGGACGCTACCCGTGCTGTGGACACCTTGACCAACACTGATCTTGGTGGCGCTCCTTTGCAAATCGAGTTTGCTCGTGAGAAGAGGGAGGACACTCGTGGCCAACACCGTGCGAAGGCCACAAACTTGCCTGAGGGCACTGCTTGGCAGGACTTCAAGGACTTCGTCAGAGAGAAAACCGGATGCTCCCCAACTTTTGCTAAGGTCTTCCGTGACTACGACAGCGGCAACACCATTGGTGCTCTCGAGTTTTCTTCTGCTGATGAGCTCCAAAAGGCCATTTCTGAGTTGAACGAGGCTGACTTCAACGGCTCTGTTTTGGCAATTGAAGAAGACACCTCGCCTTTTGTTCCACCAAAGAGAAGAGACTTCGGTGACTTCAGAGGCGGCCGTGGCGGCAGAGGTGGTCGTGGTGGTAGAGGCGGTCGTGGCGGTTACAGAGACGACTTTAGAGGTGGCTTCAGAGATGACCGTGGTGGCTTCAGAGGTGGCCGCGGCGGCGGTTTCAGAGGTGGCCGTGGTGGCTTCAGAGAAGACCGTGGTGGCTTTAGAGATGACCATGGTGGCTTTAGAGGCGGCAGAGGCGGTTTCAGAGGCGGAAGAGGCGGCTACGACCGTGGCGAATACCACGGTGACCGTGAGAATTTCGACAGAGACTCGTACTCGCGTGACAGATCCCCTACTCGTTACTGATGATTTTTTTTCGAAGATTGGAGGGTTTTTGACTGGCTCCGGGATTAGCGAATCTGATGGCTCAAAATTGATGTATAATCCTTTGTATAACCGAAAACGATAACGTGGAAAACAATAGGGACTCTGAGGGTGAACTGATATCAAGTGTGGGCGAAAAATTCTTCAAGCGGGACTTGAAGAGGTCTATGAGCAAGGATTGTTGTCTGTTTAATTTTTTTTTTTTTTTTTTTTTTTTTTTTGATCTTTTATGGTCTCTTGGTGAACAAGTGCAATATAAGCGTCCTGTACCAGATTCAATTGGTACAGGTCTTGATGTCGCTACTACCAATAATTCTGTTGTAGTCTTTTCTTCAATGACAAGTATATCAAAAGAGATCGCTTACGGTACACACCCGTTGCAGAGGATCAAGTTCTTTCATTACTCTCCTGCCAATACTCAGTGTTTAGTTTTCGTCCATGGTGGAGCATGGAGAGATCCAACAAATACGTATGATGACTTCAATCAACTAGCACAGCATCTCCAGTCGCAGATACCGAACTTCAATTTTGTTGGAGTCAACTACAGACTCTCGCCTGAAGTAAAACATCCTGAGCATCTAATGGATTTAGGTGCGGCTTTGCTGTTTCTTAGCACCAGTTATAATATGTCAAACTGCGTGTTGCTAGGCCATTCTGTGGGCGCCACATTGTTGATGCAATTGGTGAACTACAACAAGATTATAGAGCTTTCGGGCGTGACTGTTCCCGCTCCACTCGCAGTCAAGATTTCGGGAATGGTTTTCGTGGATGGGATTTATGACATGGTGGATCTCATAGAAGAATATGGGTCACTGTACGAGGAATTTGTGGACAATGCTTTCACTAATGCAGACGGGTATATTAATGCGCTGCAAATGACGTGGAAGTGTAAAGATAACTTTGATGCAAAGTTTAAGGTACTTGTGGTTCAATCTCTTGAAGACGAGTTGCTCAGCCTTCGACAGACAAAGCGATTTGTCGAGTATTTAAAGAATCAGAAAGTCATTTACGAGCTTGATACTGGAGACTGGGGTCGCCACGAAGAGGTTTATAGACGAGAGGAGTTAGCGCAGACAGTGAAAAAATACTTAGAAAGTCTATGAATGAAATGAAGTTGATGTGATGAGGAAGAGAATAAAACATCAAAAACGAAAAAAAAAAATAGAAAGACAAACGCAAACAAAAAATGAAGAGGACTTTTAAAACACTGCAGTCTTATACAAAGTAGTTTACAGATATGGTTCACTTTCAAATTAGAGAAGAGTATGATTCGTAGTATATACTAGGATAACTGACAGTAGCGATGTACTGCACGGAAGTCGTGGGGCAGAGCAAAATTTTCCACACACGGCAGGTCTAGTTACTACAAGCACTCGAAAGAAACACAGAAAAAGCAACATGTTTCAGTCGTGGGCAGATGCCGAGGATGATATCCCAACACCAGAGGTTACCGTCAACCCAGACGGAACCAAGACGGTGATCAGTTACAGATTAAACGCCAAGGGCCAAAAAGTGAAGATCACTCAGAAAATCAAAGAGGTCAAGGTTAAGGAAAGAGTGCACCCTTCCATTGCCATCCGTAGAGGATGGGCCAAATACGGGAAAGAAAAGCATACGCCACCAGGTCCAGACACCAGAACGACGCAGTTGGGTGAGAAGGTTGAGTTGAAACTCGGAGCCTCTTGGAAAGAACTTGAGAAGAAAGAAGAGGAAGAAAAGTTGGAACAAAAGGCCAGCTTGGTCAGCACACAGAGACTCAGATGTAGAACATGTGAGGGTGACCATTTCACATCCAAATGTCCTTTCAAGGATACATTGGGCGCTGAAACCGCTGGTGGCGCTGGTACTCCAGAACCTTCTGAGTCGGGCAAATATGTTCCAGCACACTTGAGAAAGGATGCTCCTTCGAAGGAGTCTAGAGATGACTCGTGCACATTGAGAATCTCCCAGTTGAATACATTTGTCAACGAACAAATGTTGAGGGAAGAGTTGTTGGCCAAGTACGGCCCATTGCAGAGAGCCACCGTTCTCTACAACAAGGAGACAGGCGAGTCCAGAGGATTTGCCTTTGTTACTTTTGCTACGGAACAAAAGGCCGCCCAGGCATTGGAGGAGTTGAACGGCAAGGGTTACCACTCGTTGATTTTGAGGTTGGAGTGGTCCAAGAGAAAGAAGACCTAGTTATAGCATTGGAATTGGTACATCACGACGCGAATACTTGCAGCTGTAGCCCAGCACTGTCAGTGTTGAAGGGAGAAATGGTGCGATACCTTCCACCTATAGAAACATTGTCCTTTAACTAACTGCACTCTTAAAATAGCAATAATGATAATTCAACTCGCCCTTTAATGCGAGCGGACTCAAACGGATCCGCAAATCAATCCGATATTATTAAGTTAGAGCAGGCGATCCCTCACTAGTTTTTTGTAGTGAAATATCGACCGGATATAATTGATATACCCGAAAGTCCGTTCACGCAACAGTTGCCCACATCCGGCACAAAAGTTGTGCAGCGACTACCGATAGGACTCCAATTAGTCCTGGGAAACAACAGCCAAAACGAGACGACTTTCCAAATTCATACCGCGGTTCATCCGGAGACCTTTCAGAAACATGTCGCAACATTCTGTTTCTTCTAAGAAACTGGAGAATGACCCTTCATTGGCCAAGCGCATTGTGCATAAAATCCTAAACAGAAAGCCTCTGTCTCCGAGCTCCTCCCACAAGAGAACAAATAGTTCAGGGTCTGAGACCCAATCGAGAGAAAACCAGAGACTAAAGACACCAGGAAATATTCGGGCCATTTTGGACACGGATTCTTTCATTGGTGACGATGACTCCATTTACGATTCTGGCGAAGAATCGGAACATCACGACGTGATGCTGAATGGTGGTGACTTGGTGACTGATGAAAAGGATTTGGACGTTCACAAAAACGATAAGGTGGAATTTCCCATGTTCAAAAATGGCAACGAAAAAAGTGACGAAGATATGCCGTGGGCTGGACTCACTTACGGTGCGTTGGTGGCACCGAAATACGTGCGGGTCACTCGAAGGAGCAAGAAGAGCCCGCGGCTCCTAAACAATGTCTTTCTCGCTCAAGAGTTTCGGTGTACACCTAATGAATCCAAGCATTCCGACCCGGATTCGGATGATGACAAGGATATGTCATTTGAGACAAACAATGGGTACGACAAGCCCCCAAAAGGAATGAACGAAGACGAAATTCTTGTCATGGAGTTTAGCCGAGATGGCAAGTATCTTGCGGTTGCAGGACGTGATGCCAGAATCACCGTCTTTCAAGTTATATCTTCTCCATTGAGCAGATTGCAGTACAAAAACCACGAAGCAGGTCAAGACGAGCGTTCAAGAAAGAAGCGACTGAAGATCTATGGGTCTGCGCCAGTTTTCCATAAAGTCCCGGTGCGTGTGTTTGAAGGACACACCTCTACCGTCATTTCTTTGGATTGGAGTAAAAACAACTTCTTGATATCCGGTAGTATGGACAGTACAGCCAAATTGTGGAACGTGGAAAGACAGGATTGTCTTGAAACCTTCAGACACGAAGATTTTGTTACAGCTGTTAAGTTTCATCCTAATGATGACCGCTTTTTTGTAAGCGGTAGTCTTGATAACTGTGTGCGGCTCTGGTCTGTTCTTGAATCCAGTGTTACATACACCAAGAATTTAGGGGTCGATGTTCTTATTACAGCTCTAGCATTCAATGCTCCAGGAAACTACTGTATGGTGGGTGGGTTTAATGGCTCGCTTTTTGTTCTAGAAACAAACGGCCTTCATTACGTCCATCGGCTTGAAGTCAAAGAAAAGGCACACATAACTCCATTTAGTCACAAGAATGATAATAAAATCACGGGAATCAAAGTTTTTGAGAATGACTCCGCTGTCGATGTTCCCAAAAATGATCTTGCGAAGTACAACATATTGATAACAACAAATGATTCTAGAATCAGATTGATCGACTTGAGACAAAAAAAACTTGTCACCAGGTTCAAAGGAAGCTCTAATCCGAACTCGTCGATTGTTGCTTCTTTGAGTGAAGACTGTCGATACGTTATTTCGGGCTCGGAGGATCACTGTTGTTATGTATGGGAGAACAACAACTCCATCATTAACAACAAATTACGACTGGCTTTGAAGGAGATTTATATTGAGGGTAAAAGTCATATGAATGAAAAGCATAAGCGTGTTGCAAAGTTGTTCCATGAGAATAAACTATGGAAAAAGCTTAACATGCAAAAATTCGTCGAAGATGTTAATGGTCAGATGTACGTGGCGAATGAGAACAATAGTTATTCCAGTTTCCATGCTCATCACTCTCGAGTGAACGTCGCTCTATTTGCTCCTGAAAATACCAAAAAGCTACTTGAGTTCTCTGATGACATAATCTACGATCTTGCGAAGAGAGCTCCAAAATTAGCCAAAGCGGGAATTTATCCTCCACGGCATAAAAACTTCTCATTTCCTCCTTCTACGGGCCTTAATGATGGCCACATTATCGTCACATGCGACTCGACAGGTCTTATCCGGGTGTATCGCCAAGATTCTGCTTACTATGTACGTAAAAGTCTTGTTGAGCTTCGAAAAAACTGCACTCACATCCCTGTTAGTAATCCAACTCCAGAATCAACTGGTATCAACTCGAGATTGATGAAAACTAGAAGTTTGAGTCCAACATACGAAACAGCAATGTCACTCGATACTGGTTTATCATTAAAGACAAAGTTTCTGAACAAACTAAAACCTACGTCACAAAGAGTACACACAGCACCGCATCTTATTGGGGATTTACCTAGGCAACTATCTTCTAGAACTCTTGATTGCTCCATAAACGGCGATGATAACAAGAATCTTATAACACTGGCATCACTGGTCAGCTTACGGAATCTCAACAAATCTGCTCAAAAGGACAGAACTCCTGCCTTCAAGTTCTTGTTGACTCCCAATGCCAATGATAACAAAAGTATAGCAAGTGCCGAGAGGTTGGAGTTTGAGCCAAGCCATGTTCATGTGGTAAATATTGCAGGAGACGAACACTCTCAAACCCTGCAGTAAATGGGGCCAACGCTCTCCTCAGTTCGTGACAAACCTCGCCAAACTTATTATGGTGTAATAATAGTTCATTGTATAAGGGTGTTGAATCTTTTCTTTCATGAACCTTCAGTTTCGGTAGTAACAACTTGAGCTGTTTCCTCGTTGTCAATACGAGTGGTTCGGCTTTCTTGGTTTAGCTCATCATCAACGATCTTGCCGAACAATCCGCCAAATTTTTGGCCGTTAAGCCGTATTCTTTTGATAACAATCGCAGGAAAGGCGTCAACTTTAGACATGGAAAGTAATTTTCACCGAATATACACAAAGATCCTTCTCAATACCCCACATAATCTGCTCTTCACGTGCGGACCGTTTTGCCTTTGCTGAAGCTTCCTGAGCTCTTTCCGCAACAGTAGGATCAAATCCTCGGCCTTCATCTTCTGCATCATCCTCAATATCACTGGAAGCGAATGCGGTAGCTTCCGTAAAAGATTTCCGTTTCCTTATCCTTCTCCTCATGCTTGCTGAGTTCATCTTCTATACTGTCAATATAATCATCGTAGTTGATATCATCGAGTTCACCACGTTCCAAGGAAATCTCACGCGCTTTAGCCAACTTTGATTCTTGAATGAAAAAGACATTCAATAACGCCGATTGCAACCCTGTACGCATGTTGTCTTGGATATAGGGTCCTAGCCTCTCATTACTTTCAAAAATTTCTTGGAAGTGTTTAAAAACATTTCGCCCTTTAAGTTTTCTGTAAAATGTTCTGAGAGAAACTATCACATCAGCAATTTTGAAAGAGAAGACTTTCTCTAGGTCAATAAGTTTCCTTATTAATTTTGTCATTGCCCCGTCAGAGTCGGAAGTTGTACTATTGAGCCCTTTCAACGACTCATCAACCGAGACGAAAATACGTGATACATCCCTTAACAATAGACAATGCTCGTCCAAAAACATTCCAATATTGATCGAAGCGGCAGAATCATCATTGCTAGCATACATTAGATCTTCAAGTTTCCAGCACAAGCTTAATGCAATTAGATCGAGGGTCGCGGACCAACAGCTCTCCATTTCCGTCAGGATTTTCAAGTAGTTATTTGGCCAAAATTTAATGAGAGATTGAAATTCAACGTTCGACAACACTTTCGTCTGTAGAACTTCCAATAGGCTATTCTCTAGGTTGAGAATTGGTTCAGCTATGAACTTATTGATGTTCATGACCTTCTCAAGTTGGCTCAATTTGAGTATGCTAGCATTTGCTTTCAACATTTTGTTACAAAGAACTTTCTGGTCAGGTGGTAAATCAAACTCTTCGTCTTCTTCAACAAAATCTTCCATGGGTCCATTCTCATTGAGTGCCTCAATTGCTTCGGATGAAAGAGAAATTACCAAGTCCTCCAACTTTAATTGAATACTGGAATTTAAAGCCGGATTTGACACCCTTTCTCGTCTTTGATCTTCATAACTGCCCAATAAAATCAGGAAATAATCATCAAATACTGCTTTGATGTGTTCATTTTGGTCATCGATATCAGCAAACATCGATAAGATTCTGCCTTGTAGGCCATTGTAAATCACTTCCTTCTCCATGTTAGCAAAAACCTGCGCAAGGGATATGTCCAAGGACAGCAACAAGTTGAATAGGCGCAAAAAGACGATGTATGAATCTACTGAGTTACTCAGAAGCCTTTCAAGATCAGACAAATATAATGCGAGAACGGGTAGAGCATTACTAATGTTATCTGAACTATGCGATTCTTCTTGTTTCCTTGAATTCTTTTTTGACAGTATGCAAATAAAGGATCCTAAGATCAAACTTAAGAAGGCGTTCTTCTCTGCACCTCGAGCGATTTCTAACCTTTCTTTTAAAGTTTGCTCTGTAACTCTATCATAATCATCATTTGCATTATCAATAGTACCAAAGGATACCGAAGAAATATCGCAAAGGAGATACTGGACAAGAACTTCCCAACTGCCCTGAAAGCTTGGTAAGGAATACATAACCAGGAATAAATCAGAAATTAAATCATCAGGAAAAGGTTTTGTAGGTGTAACAGAAACCAAAGAGCGCTTCGAGTCGGTATAATCTTGGAATGATTTTTGCAAGAACAGAATCAAAGCCTTATATCGAAGGCAAGTAGATAGATTAAGTTGGTCTTCGTCTTCACCAAACTTATGGGAGAAATGAGTAGAAAGAAACGATTCGAACTTCTCCATCTCTGAAGTCAGTTGCTCCAAACAGACTGCCTCCGCAAATTTGCACCACTCTCTTTTAGCTTTATTGGATAAAGCGTGTGTCATTTCTGCCAAAAAAAATCCAAACAGACCAATATCCAGTATATCTGAAGTTTCCAAAAAGCCTAACTTGAAAAGTTCGGTGTAAATACCAAAAAGATGGATTCTAATGCTCATTTGTTGCTCGCTCCACACCATGAGAATGAATTGCTTCTTGAACCTCTCCGTAAATTGTCGGAAACCAATTCCCATAGTTTCATTCCGAGCGCTTATATGTTTGTAAAGCTTGTGGATTATTTTAATTGCTTCCTCTCGTACGCTATCATTAGGATCAGAGATAAGCCAGCCAAAGTATCTTAAGTATTTAGCTTGAAAAAACATACTTTCATTGATTACCATCCAATTACCCAAAGCTCTCAAACATTCAACTCTGATCGCACTGTCAATATCACGGTAGCGATGTACGAAGACATTCAGAAATACATCACTCAAATATTCAATTAGGGTATCATGTTGAAGTTTAAAACTTTGTATGGTTTCTGATATGATCTCAATTTTTCTGTCTTGTGCCCTCTGGTTTCGCTTTGTTTTGTTATTTTTTGCATTGTTCAATTGACGCAGCTGTTTCTCAAGTGAAATAGATAAGCTAACTGCTTGTTCACAAATCTGAGTTTGAATCGCCATGTGTACAACTGTGGAGACAAATCTAAATGGCCTAATAGTACTGCTCGACAATGCAGCCAACCATGATAAGATATCATTCATCATTGGTGAGGCCAAGGACGAATCGCCAGTGTCTTGTTCTTTATAGAGACATCCCTTTTCATGTGACACGGTGATTATGTTTTCAAAAAACTCAATAACATTTTGTCGAAAGAACTTGAGGTCCTTGTTTTTAGAGATGAAGGGATATTCATGGTATCTTTGCCTTTCAAAAAAAACTGCGATATCCGCAACAGTAGCATCTGCTGAATCATAATTTATCATATCATGCTCTTGAGCCAAATGATAGCATCCACAACATCTCAAAACCAAGTTGAAGAGCTCGGTGATGGCTTCGCTTTTGTTAGATTCAGAGTCGGACATCCACTGCTCCACCCATTCAAGAGCCAAGTCAGAGACAGCACATTCAGAATTAGACAATGCAATGTAAAGATTATTCTCCACAAAATCCGGATCTGGTTCAAAACTTGTGCGTGCCCTTTTATGACCACGAGCTCTCTTTTGGTTCTCTTCGGGTGGAGAATCGTATCCTTCATCAATAAAATCGCTTTCATTCCCAGAGTCAGAGATCTCAGCTGCATCCACAGATCTCTTTTCTGGTCTTCTGCTTGATCGTCTTGTAGCAGAGACCATATTGAATGATTTAGTATGAATGTATTGTTTCGTGTACTTAGCACAGACGCGTATTTGAAATGCGTACACGCGAATGAAACAAACTTAAAACAGAAGAGCAGACTGCCAAAATTATGGCATACATAGAAAATGGCTCGTTGGGGAAAACAGTAGCTTGACAAGAGGTGGGGCTAAAGGGACAAAGGAAGCCGTTTCTACAATATAGATATACCAGTCATTAAGCTAACATAAACGCAGCATGCCCTTCACATTCTAAGGCGACAACTGAACAGAATTCGAAACTTAGCTATATATTCATCAGTAAATTCCCTATTAGGAGGAGCTTGAAATCCAATAGAAATCACCATAGTTTGGGCCTTGACTTTTGAAAGACTGGCTGAGTTGGCTTCATTTTGATTTGGTCGTGTCCAAACTAGTCGTGCGAAAAGAGAAAACATCAAGGAAAAAACAAAACTCACGAACCGATCTTATTCAATACGTATAAAATGGCCACTCCTGCAGAATCCGAAAAGCCAGAAACCCCTGAAGTTGAAGACACACCGGTTGCAGAAACTGCAGAAGACTCTCAACCGCCAAAAGAGACTGAGCCGGTAGATCTTGAGAAATTGAGAGCTTCATTTCAAGAAAAGGCCAAAACATATTTGATTGAACAATCAAGACACGTTGTAATTCCATCGTTCTCAAAATGGTTTAATCTCAATGACGTTCATCAAATTGAAAAAAACCTGTTTCCGGATTTCTTTCCACCAAAGACACAAGACGGTGCTCCCAAATCAGTGTACAAGACACCCGAGACTTATCGAAACATGAGAGATTTCATGATCAACACTTACAGAATTAATCCAATTGAGTACCTTACTGTCACTGCAGTTAGACGTAACTTGGCTGGTGATGTTGCCAGTATTATTCGCATTCATCGTTTCTTAGAGAAATGGGGCTTGATTAACTATCAGATTGACCCAAGAACCAAACCATCTCTCGTGGGACCACAATACACTGGACATTTCCAGATCACTTTGGATACACCTAAGGGGTTGGTTCCTTTCGTCCCAGAAGAAATTGCTGTGAACGAGAAAGAACCATCACAAGAAACTTCAGCCCCAGTTGCCCAAAAGCAGCCCTCCGAAGCTCCAGTCAAGCAAGAAGAAGAGGATATCCTGGTGATCCCTCTTAATATGGAAGTTACACGCAATATTTTTGACGATTCGGTAAGCTCAAAGGCTGCCTCTTCTGTGCTGTACTTCTGCAATGAAACTTCGAATGATGTTTCAGACGTCAGATACCACAATTTGAAAAACACATCACTGGCTGGCAGTAATGTTGGCAATCTGATTATCAGCAAAGAATGTTTTGAACAAGGCTTGTTCCCGCTGAATTTCGTTTCTTCGGATTTTGTAAAGTTAGAGAAGAACTTGAAACAATCGCAATGGACGCCTCAGGAAATACTTTTGCTTTTAGAAGGTGTTGAGATGTATGCCAGCGTTGATGCAAACAGTCAATCTTTGTTTGTTAATAATAATGGGCAATGGGATCGTATCAGTGAACATGTTGCATCTAAAACTAGAGAGGAGTGTTTGATCAAGTTTTTGCAATTGCCAATTGAAGACAAGTACTTACACAAGCTAGTAAAGTCTGAAGATCAATCGAGCCGAGACACTGGCATTGATAAGGATACTATTGTTCAGGAAGTTGTCCGCAAATTAGTGGAGTCGAATGAAGGCAAGGATGTTGTGAACAAGAATGCACAGGTGAATTTACAAGAGGCAGTTCTCGATCAGACAAACTTGATCAATCAGGTTATCGAGTTGACATTGGAGAAGGTTGACGCGAAATTGAAGATTATCAATTACCTAGAAGCGGATTTGATGAAAACCGAGAATCTATTGAACTTGCAGCGCAAGCAAGCTTTGATCGAAAGATGGCTGAACTTCGAAAAGATTAATCAATTCAAAAAGGAAAATACACATCCGGAATTGAATTCTTTGTTGGACGACTTGTTGACACCCATCAATATCAACGAAATTAACAAATCGTTTAACAAGATTAAATTAGATACCGAATTGGCAGAAAGCACCCCCGAAACCGATAAGGCTGAAGAACCAGTTTTGCCCGTCAGTGTGACACAACCCAAAGCATATCAGTTCTGGTCTGCTTAGATGGTTACTCTGCAAAACACAGAGCAAGTCAGTGCTCGCCAATTTGGGATAAGCACAAAATGTCACCTCCTTTGTACAATATAGATAATCCCAGGGATTGCCGTATCAAGAAAATAATGGAAAGTATGCATTGTAGTCTCGGCCTTGACTAGTACAGTGGTGTGCAGATAAACGGCATCGGTGTGCATTTTGTGCTGCTTACGATAGGAATTGCAAATACAGATCGAATTTTTCTAGGACAATAACTTGATAAAAGAAAAAGTATATACCGATGTCATGTGGAGCCGAAGTTCTCTCTTGTTAAGGCAAAGCAAGCGATACGTGGCTTTTAATCAGTTTCAGAAACTAAATCCTCATCCATCAATTCCAGAGCCATTTGCTTACCAACAAGCAAAACCTCAGCAGAATGACGAAATCTACGTCGCTATGAGCTCTGGAGTAGATTCTTCAGTCACAGCTGCTCTTTATGCATCGAAGTACCCACATGTGAAAGGAATTTATATGGCTAACTGGTCACAGACTGCAAAATGCACGGAATCGGAGTGGAATGACGTGCAAAAGGTTTGCCAGCAGATCGGAATTCCCTGCGAGCGGGTAAATTTTGAGAAGGAGTATTGGGCAGATGTTTTCATGCCGATGATTGAAATGTATGAAAACGGGTTGACACCAAACCCAGATTTGGGTTGCAACAAGTACATCAAATTCGGCAAGATGATCGAGCACTTATCGAATAAGTACTCTACTCGGGAGAAGAAGTGGTGGCTTGCGACGGGTCACTATGCCAGAGTAGAAACTGCCAAAACTGGTCCTCGACTTTTGAAGGCATACGATGCTAATAAAGATCAGTCCTATTATTTGGCCAGCACACCGTCTGAAGTTTTCAAGAATGTATTAATGCCTTTGGGACATTACACCAAACCACAAGTTCGGCAATTAGCTCAAGACTTTGGACTTCATACGGCATCTAAACCCGACTCCCAAGGACTTTGTTTTGTTAGCCCTGATCATTCTAAGTTCAGGCACTTTTTAGACGAGTTCATTCCGCCTAAACCAGGAAATATTATCACAGAAGACGGAAAAATTTGGGGAACACATAAGGGTCTTTGGCATGCTACAATAGGGCAGAAACTGGGGATATCAATGCCTCAAGGTGACCCACAGTATCAAGGTGTTTGGTTTGTAAGCGAAAAGAGAATTGATACAAACGAGTTGGTCATTGTTCGTGGAGGAAATAATGAAAAGCTCTTCAAACTGATTTTGAAAGTCTGTGATTGGGAATGGTTGGGAGATGGGGAATTAGCTGCTACGAGCGACAACTTGCATATCCAGTTTCGATCTTTACAAGAGCCTGTCCCCATTCGAAGTCTAATTATGAAAGACAAAGGCGAGATAGATTTTCACCTTCATAAATCAGAAAGAGCCATGGCTCCAGGACAAAATGTGGTCTTGTACGATGGTTACAGAGTTCTAGGATCAGGAACACTCATAGAAACACAATAAAACTTGTACATAGCTGACGAGATTAACGATTCCTACTAAAAGGGTAAAAAAAACATTACATGAATTGAAAACATACTAAATGATAAACAGTATCCAGCAGAAGCTGTGCAAAAGTGTCCTCGAAGAATTAAACCCAGTAGATAGCCCATTGTTAGAAAGACTTGCCCATTATTAATTTAAAATGCTGTGATTGTAGGATACAAAGATGACTTCACTTCTTCAGAACCCTTTTTGTCCTGCTCTTCGTGTTGCTTGATCAACTCTGTGATGTGCTTGCGGACAAGGTCGATTATCTCGCGATGTCTCTTCACAGTATCCATATCAAACTCTTTGTCGGTAATCAGCAACTTCTTAAACATATCGATGGTCTCGTCACTTTCTCTGGTTTCAACCTTCTCATTTTCGGTATCCTCTGTCTCAAGCTTTTGACCAGATTTCTGACTGTTGCTTACCCCACCAAAATTGGCCGTAACTGGGAAAGAACCAGAACTTTGGAAAACTCCGCCCATTTGTCTCGAAGCATGTGGAAAGCTAGGAGTGTAGCCGACGTTGTGGTTGTTGACAAAATGGCTGTTGTTCTCTGGAGCCTTCGACAGCAATTGTGGCAACATTGGGTAAAGTGGTTGGGTCAGATATTGCTGTTGTTGTGGCTGCTGCTGTTGCTGTTGCTGCAGTTGATGAGATGACTGGCCTGCCATGCTTTGGTATTGCATGTCTATCAGCGAAGACAAGTTGCTGAAGAACTTTTCAGCTTCATACAAGTTTGGTTGCGTTGTGTGTGCTGGAACAAAGCTTGGAGCCGGTGGAGCACCAAACAAATTGGATTGGTTATTCAAGGATTCCTCCATTCCGTTTAAGCGGTTGTAAATGTCCATATTGTATTGGGGTTCGACCTTGACTCTCTTGTTAACCTCAGTAGGACCGTAAAAGTCATTGAGAATGCCATTCACAAGATGCATATTTTGCTGAAGCGAAGTTCCATCTGCACATCTCTTCCTTTGGTCAGAGTTCATCTGCGCTTGAAGAGCAGAACTGTTATCGAAAAGCTCTGGGTGTGACATTTCATTGCCTAACGCTGTGAAGTGACTGTTGTCCAATGGAAGTTGGCGCTGCTGGTAAGGCATGTACCCATACTGGGCAGCAACATCATATGGTTGCTTGACAGCAACCTTTTGTGCCTTCTTTAAACTCCTTTGGTGGTCCTCTTCATGGATCTTTGTATGCTTCTTCAAGTCCTGTGGTCTCTTGAAGCTCTTTGGACACAAATCGCAATGGTAGGGCTTCAAAGGTACGTGAACACGCAAATGGGAAGTGATGTGATCTCTTTTAACAGTGGTAGTCCCACAGTTGTCCCAAAGACAAGTCAAGGAAAGGTTGTTGGAGCATTTCCTTCCAACATGGTCATTGCATAAATGCTCATACAAGACCTCTGGGGTATCAAAAACAGAGGAGCACGCTTGCCATTTGCAGTAGAAGGGACCTCTCATGTCAGCATCTCTGACCTTTCTGTAGATTTTTTTGGGTTTTTTGACCTCCTCGGCTACAGCAGAGACTGGTTCAGGTTTTGTCTCCACCTTTTGAACAAGATGAGAATGAGGATTGCCGAGGAAGTAAGGAGGATGTTCTGGAGCTACAACTTGCACCACATTCTGCTGGAGGCCAAAGGACTGCGACAGATAACCCCCCATGTAATGCTTTTGTTGCTGAGGCAAGTATTGAGGCGAGTTTTGCGCCAACTCAACATTCTTCTGCAAAGGAGAACTTTCGGAAGATTGCGAAGTGAAAGAAGTCAGTGGAGACCCGCCTGAAGACTGTGTCGTTGGAGAGTTGGAAGAAACTGCATCGGAAACTGCGTCAAGGTCGAAGTCAAGCTCAGAATCGACAGCCTTCTCTGTGGTGGCATTTAAGTAAGTAACCGGGTGCAAATAGTTCATTGAAGCCATGGTTTGCTATATGGATTTTAGGTTCTCAGAGTTGCAGATGGCGATGATCTGGAACGGATGTGAACAGATGTGTTGGTGTCTGCAAATAAATGAAGCCCTCTTTTCTTTGAAAAAGAACCCTTAAAGATAAATAGATCTTGACAGAAAAATGGTAAACTTCGGGTGGGGATTCTTTATGAACAAAGCCACCTGGGTCATTAGTGCCAAGAGTTAAGACGCCAAGATTCCTGCACAGACCAAACGTGCTCCCTTTTCTTGTGTGCTTGATTCCTGTACAATATAGCGAAGCAAAAAAAAAGCGCTGTGGAAATTTGTTGAACCGAGCAAAAAAATTGCCTTCAGCCAGATTCGAACTGACGATCTCCTCATTACTAGTGAGGTGCCTTACCAACTTGGCCATAAAGGCGTAGAAAATCTCCCGGGGGTGAGTCGAACACCCGATCTCAAGATTACAAATCCATTACAGTCTCGCGCCTTAGCCAGCTTGGCCACCGGGAGGAATTTCTGAACGCTTCTCTTCAACGCTCAAACATATCATTGACACTTACCTTTGACTGCAGACAGCTTCTCAGGGTCTGACCTGTAAGTAATGTCACCTTATTAGTATTGCAACTTATTCATGTCCCAACAAGCACCTCCTCAACGTACTGAGGGTTCATCAACACAGACCCAAACGCAAACTATAGTTCCAGTACCAGTTCTACATTTGCGATCCGAGAATGCTCGAACCGACCTGAAGACAAAACAGAAGAAGAAGTCCAAAGCACGAGTAAGGTGGACCGAGGATGTGGTGGACAATGAGAATATGAATAAGAAGAAGACAAAGATTTGCTGCATTTTCCATCCGCAACGCGAGTTTGGCGAGGAGTCCGAGTGCCTGAGTGACAGCTCAAGCGATTCTAGCGACTCTTCTGGTGACGAAAAGGAAACACATGATAAATGTTGTGAGGGGAAAGGTAACGCCTATGAGACACAACCGCACTACAAAAACCAGAGTACACTTCCTAAAAATGCCATTTGATGATACTCATGGTCAATTTCCTTCTTGTAATCTCGAGCAATCGCATATACAATGAGGAGCTGGCAGCCCTTGGACTAAACGAATACGCAATGTGATTATCGTGGGAGACCTATTGATGTCTTGCAGTCTGATTTGTGTTTATTGGATCAACAGGTGACGATATTCCAGCATGACTAGACTTTTTTTTTATTCTCGACTATGCACATATCCCTTGCGGTTATTTCTAGTGAAACAATGCAGCATTACTTATGGCACGAAGACAAGTCTATGTTGGACATCATTCGATATTGCGGTTTCTTTTTTCATATTTCAACTGATAGTACACACGCAAGGAGATTAATGAATCAAGTATCACGATATTTTCTTACTCCATTTTCCAACGGCTATTGAGTTTGTCCAAACTTTTTTCTTTCGCTTTCATCATGTAATGGACTATAGTTTTATAATACAAGGCACGTTTACAGCATTAATGTTTTTTTTAAGCAGTTTTCAAAAATTTTCAGATTCGTATCAAATCGTAAATACATGTTCATCCAAGGTGGCTCCACCTATTAATTAGTAAATTATTAGCGGTCATTCTTAAAGACCCTTTTCTTTCCAGAAGCCTATTCCGGGTTTGTGATATGCAATATGCGGCGTGAGTAATCGTTCTCGTCCGACAAAGACACCTTGTGCTCAAACATCGAGTGTGGGTCCAAACGGGAGTCAAACTCCAGAATGGGGAACATAGGTGGATTTGTGTCGGTTGTTGTAGGATTAATACGCTTTTTCGAAGGACTTCGGGTATCGGCACCTCCCACAAGCGCAGGACTTAAGAAGGAAAGCATGGATTTGGCAGAGCTATTCCGATTCAATGTGCTGGAGGTGCGCAGCGGTGGCTTGGAAGCGTATATGCTTGAAAGTCTGTTCTTATTCGACATATCCATATCGTCCAATTCGTCCAGACTGTATTGATTTTCTTCGTCATCTTTCCTGTGGGTAAAGCAACAACAATACAAGAGACCGGATATGAGACCCACAACAACAATGCCGACTGCTGTGAATGTTCCAGCAACTTTCCCGGAGGAGTCGAAAAATGATTTGGAGCCCAGGTGTGCTGTCAGCAGAGCCAGCTGCGACGCCAGTTGGGTGATGTATCGAGTGGACACAGAAGCGCCGTTGGTTGTAACGACGATTGTGAGAACGCTCATGGAGATGATCGGCGAGGGGGTGGAACTTGAAGCCGAACTTGAAGTGGGGTCGGAACTAGAGCTTGGGCTTGGACTTGAACTTGGACTGGATTCTGTCGAGGAGCTTGCGGTCGAACTCGAGCTTGAACTTGAACTCGAGCTTGAACTTGAACTCGAGCTCGAACTGGACTTTGTGAAAGAGCTGGAACTTGAACTAGAAGTAAAACTAGAACTTGTACTAGAGCTTGTACTAGAGCTTGAACTAGAACTAGTAGAAGTAGAAGTTGCACTTGATTCGCTGATCGAACGAGCAGCTGAGCTAGCACTGAGACTAAAAGCGGAACTTGATGCACTGGCAGGTTGCAGGCTTGCTATCAAGCTGCTGGCACTGTTCTGCCCACTGGCGCTCGTGCCAATGGTGCTGCTTGGAGTCTGGAGCACCACATATCCGTATACCCCGTCTCCCCCACATTGCTCCTGGTCCTTGTATCCGGGACATCCTGTGTTGCATTCGTCCAAGGAAACGGTATCTTCGGGAACATCGTTGGCGCACCAGCAATCTTGATCTTGGGTGATGGCCACGGCGTACCCTTGCCCGCTACAAGTGGTTTTGCACAAGCCATTCAGCATGTATAGGCTAGATGTCTTATCTAGCCCCAAGTTGGTTCGCGAGCAAAGATTGAGAGCCAAGGCATGCGCTGATGGGAGAAGTAAAAGCGCGAGCACAAGAAGGAGCATCTTGAGACTGGCGGGGCTAAGAAAGCGGCAGGGTCTTGTGTCTATATAGGGTGCGATAAGGGCTCAGCACGGAGAAAATAACAGAATATAGGCACAGGATAAAAATAGGTGCGAATCAACGGCGCCTCAACCAAAAATTCAGGAAGAGTGGGGGAAACAATGCCGGAAAAAATGTAGTGCGTTGTCTTTCTCTTTCTATCTTTCTCTCTAATTGTGTCAATTTGATTTACTCCCTTAGCACTACTTTTACTTGTGCCTTTTGCAGTTGCTTATGCACCTTTGTTGTGGTGCCATCTGCCACCCACGCATCTCATTTACGCACGCTGCACCGAAAAAGCGCACATTGCGCCCTGTACTTTGTACTTTATTTTCCATTTGGTTTGACTGTGAATCCTTCTAGCCAATTTGCCTTTCACACCAGTTATTACGATGGTACTGCTCTCAGTTTCTCTACTGTCTCCGAAGTTCATTTAATCTTCGCATGTTTCGCAGACCAGTAGGTGTTCTGTAGTATCGATAGCTTATGCCCGCGCTCACTATACCTCGTATTATTTTTCCTTCTTGTATTTTTTTTTTTTTTTTTTTTGTATTTTTAATTTGGCTTTTCATAAGACACTACTCTATTACTAATACTCCTTCCAAACATTCACTTAGCATTCCCCTTCTGATGTTAGTATTTTATGATGACTACTTCGCCCCACCGATCTCTTTTACTGCTGTATAATACATGTATCCTTTGACTGCCCTCGATGCACCACCACGATCCCTCGTACATCCACATTTCAGATCCGCAGTCGCAGGAACTATACATTAGCCAAATTTGGCACATTTGTTACCCGAAGTATTAGTGCCCCCTCTTTCCGTCCTTGTTTTCCCGCCTGGAAATTCCTCCCGATTCTCATCTCCGGCGTCTCCGGGCACACTTTTCCAGAACAGGATGAAAAGTCGCACCTTTCAGTACACATGTAAACATTAACGCCAAATTCTCATTATGGACATCGAAACGGATATCCGCCTCTTGCGAGAGGAAATCGCAGCTCTTTCCGGTGAGTTGCGACCTCTTCAGACAGAATACGATACCCTCTTCAAGCAAGTGGCTCGTTTCGAATCGGATAACAGGAATTTGTCAAAGCCTGAAAAGCCACCAGTACCGCCGCCGGAAGATGAAGACGTCCCGCCATTAATCCAGTACTCGTGTTTCGACGACTCCATACGCTCATACTTCGAATCGACGCCTCAAAAACCAGAGCCGAGCATTGACACAGAAAAACTACTTGTGTCTATAGATTGTCGCACACGAGGAAGTGCCAATGCTTTGGAAGAAAGCATTTGGCGATCCAGCGGCGTGACGGCATTTCCTATCGATGATACGCTATACGACAAAAGAGATGATTCACTCTTGGGTCTTCGCTTCGACGTGATGGCCCACTCAACGCTGCGTTTTCTCAAGCCACATTACATAATCTTGCGAAGGCGTCAACCACAGGAAAAGGGCGTAACAGGTGACAATACATGGCTGGTATTCCGATACACTACTCCAGCATATGTTCCATTGGATAGATTGAGCCATTTACTCTCGAGCGGTGAAAACGGACTTGCCCAATTTGTTCACAAAGTTCGTCTGTACCTAACTCACGTTCAGTATAAACATGACAAATTCGATCTGGTGGCCAAAATTACGTACGGTCAATTGCCCGATGCTACCGAATCAGACGATGTCGTGGTGACACGCTTGCAAAAAGATTTGGAATGTCGTCATGTGTCAATTCATATTCAAAACTCAAGAGGTGAACTGCACCAAATCGAACTCATATGCGGTCTTTCCCTGGTGGAAACCGCTTTTTGTACTTTGTCTCCTCAAGACCTCGAAGCACAAACATTAATAGGCGTCATGCTTGCAAATGCTGAGCTAACTTCCATGACATCGAGATTTATAAAGACGTTTTCTTACATGAAGGAGAAACTGTTCCTTTAACGGGCCATGACATTCATTTGTATTTTCATTGCATTCTACTTTTACTCACGTAATTTTCAGACTTATAATTGGTTTTATAGAACAAATACGTAAAAATCAAACAATTTTGGATCGTTAAAAAAATTCCTCTAAACATTCTCAAAAGGCATTGCCGAAACCGGTGCCAGTAGGTTGGTAGCCCAACCCTGTAAAGTTTTGAGCAACAGGACCTCCAGTGATCATCAATGGCTGCCCAGTAGCAGGTTCATCATCCTTCTCCTCCGCTTGCTTTCTCTTCTGCAAGTCATCGTAAACCTCATCAAGCTTCTTGCGGTTCTCGTAAACGATGGAAATTTCATATGGTTTAATGAAGTTGCCTAAGTTGTGCAACCAGCTCAACTCAAGGACATAATCAAACTCGACGAGGTCGTAACTCGAGTACAAGAGGGCAACAAAACATTCGTGATTACCAGTTTCCACAAAGTAGTCCAATAGTTCATGCGCAAGCTTGGTAGACTTTGAAATTGTCACTGTCTTGATCAAGTCAGCCCATAATTTGTCACTCTTCAAAATCGAAATCGCCTTGTTGTACTTCTTATTCTTGGTGTACAATGTGGCAGAGATTTGTCTGAAAAAGATTATCTTATGGTTTTCCAATCTCTCGGCCAAATCAAGAGAGTTGAATCTGTTGCTAGTTTCACTCTCGATGGCAGAGTTCAACGACTTGTAGTCCTCCTCCTCGATCAACAAGTCATGGTAGGCACTGTTGACAATAGAGTTGTTCTTATCGAGCACAGAAATCAAGAAAGGCTTAATCAATGGCAAGTTGTCTGACTTGACGAACATCCTGACAACTCTTGGTAAATCAAGTTTAGGTGTCAAAACAGACAATAAGTCAACCAAAAGAGTTGGGTTCTCAGACATGTAGAAGTTGATAGCCTTGTAATATATCTCCAAGTTAGACACCTTCACGATGATTTCCTTGAAAGATGAATGATCGAAGGCAACTTCAGACTTATCAATCATAGTCAAAGCAGCGTTGTCCCATTCTTCGTAGTGGCAGTACAAGAAGATCAACTCAGGATACAAATGCGCATCCTCACAAGCACTCAACACTTTTGGAATGTTAATTCTTGACCAGAACAATTTCAAATGTTCCATAACCTTCTCCGGTCTGTATTTAGAGTAGAGGATAGCTAACTCGGTGAACATTCCCATATGTGCTCTCTCCAAGCCCAAACCACTTTCGAAAAGCGAAATTACCTCGTCGAAGTAACCATTGTACTCATAGGTTCTAACCAACTCGGGTAACTCCTCAGCATCAATAATTAAGTTCAAACCACAGATTTGAGCCAATCTGAACTCCTTGTTCTCAATACATGCGCTGTTCACCTGCTTCCAAACATTGGTGTTCGAAGCCTTTCTGGCACAGTCAACAGCACCTTGGTAATCCTCTAAATAAACCAAGGTTGTAGCAAGCTTGGAGTACTTTGAAATATTGGAGTACAAAATTTTGGCCGCCTTGTAATTTTTAGCCTCAAATAATTTGTCACCAATTTCTTCCAAGACAGCAACGTTAGGGCCAGCAACAAACTTCTCAATTTCTGATAACTTGTTCAAAGATGCGTAACAGTTGATCACAGCATTGTCAACGATTGGCTCTCTCAATGTCTCTCTAGCCATTTCTAAGAATGGGATCAATTCCTCTTCTTTTCCAGCACGTTCAGCGATTTCGATGACCTGTTCGAAGTTGCTAGGGTTCTTGGACTTGACATAAGAGCTAATAGCTTCTGGAATACGTAAGCCGTTCAATTGCGCAGTACCCAATTGGAACCACAATTCAGGAGTATCGTATTTCTCGGCATATTGTTCACCTCTGTCGAGGGACATGATATCTTCAACTAAGACCTTCATAGCTTCGCTTCTTAATTCGAATTTGTCATATACATCGAAAGCTTCTTCAAACAAGTCGTTGTCAATACACAATGGAGCGATCTCAGTGGGATCATACTTGTCCAATTTCTCAACATAGTTTGCAACACGAGATGGGTCAGCTTTAATCGCTGTTAAGATCAATAAACCTTGCAAAGAAGTGTTATCGTTAAATGGAGAAGGCTCCAAAATGATTTTCTCTAACAACTCAATCAATTCTTGTGGTAAGTCATTTTCCATGAAAGCCTTGACTGTAACGGAAACAGGCTCGGGATCACTCAATTCTGGGATGCCTGTTGACACAACTTGGTCGATAAGCTGCCTTCTGTGTACGTTGTCTGGAGACAAGACCTTCGCCCACAAATCAAAGTCGGATTTAGCTAACAAGTATCTAGCTTGATAACTGTACATCTTATTCGTAGAGAATGTGATATTCATCATCGTTGCTCCTTTAGAGTAGCAATATATGCCAAGTACGGATCTCTCTTTTCACAGTATCTGCCAACAGCCAATGTATCGTAATTGTCATTCTCTGCAAGAATTTCTCTGGACTATTATTGGAATCAATGTAGATTTTAGCCCAAAGTATTGTAGACCTCTTGGTCAGTCGAACCACCCTCCAAAGTTTTCTCCAAGAATGGCAATACGATCTTCAAGCGGTTTCTCTTCTCGACTTCCTGGACCAATTCTTTCAAAGGAACGCGGCCAAGAACTGACATCAACAAGCCTTTGATGATGTTCTCATCACAATCAACATCTAACAATCCTGCAACTACTTGTGGAGTGTTTGCTGGGTTGACCTGTTGAACGTAAACTTCGATAAACTTGAAGTATTGGTTCTTGTACAAGTACAAAATCAAATCATGGACGAAGTTGAATCTGTCACAAACAATAATCAATGGCAATTGGTCATCCAATTTAAACTCCTTCAAAAAGTTTTTGACTTTCTCGCCATTGTAAACGTTGTTGTCTCTGACAACTCTCTCAATTTCTTTAGTCTGGTTCATCTTCGCTGCGGCTTCGATGTACTTGAACACCACATCAGGATCTTGAGTTAAGTTGACAATAGATGACAAGTAGTAGTACTTACCCTCGTTGCACTTATATGTTTCAAAAAGTTTGATCAAGTTCAATGGACCGAGCAAATCGGAGTACTTAGTTGCAACTTGAATGACGACTTGCAAGTTTTGTTGAATGTTGTTGCTCAACAATTCGTTCAAGCAAGCCATGGATTGTTGGACATTCAACTGACCAAAATAAGAGACTAACCAGTCATTTGGCAAAACGTTTGTGTGCACAACGACCCTCTTGATATCTTTCAAGTCATCGTAGTGTTCTAAAGCTCTTTGAAACAAGCCAGACTTTTCACACAACTTGCCAATACTTGGTTTGTCATAGTGGCTAAACATGTTATTACCCAAAATTGCATCAGCGACTTGTGGAGCATGCAACAAGTTGATTTCTAAAACCTTTGTTTGCAAGTGACCGTCAGAAGGAGAATCATTTTTCAAAGCATCCAACAAAAATGCGGTACCTTGTTGGATAAAGTTTTGGGAAAAGAACAAGTCGGCAATGTTTTCAACATTCAAGTTGGCCGTATTATTAGCCAATAATGAGGTAGCAAACTCGCTAGCTTTGTCTGGGTTTACGCGAACAAGGTTTTGAATCAAGTTGGTGTAGTCTGGTTCATAGTTTACCTTCTGGCAGTATGGCAAAATCTTGTCAAACTGGCCCAATTCTGCTAAGCAGGAGACAACCTTGATGTTTACGTTGGCCCTAACGTAAATTGCCAATGCCAAAGCAGTATCGTTATACGATTTGACAATGTCACCCAACTCCTCGGAAGACGTCAATTTATCCTCCTTCAACCATTTTTCAAACAATGGCTTACGGTCTTGCTGCAAGACAGGCTTCGCAAGTTCAATAGACTCATATTTGTTCAACGAGCCTCTGTCCAACAAAGTGGAAAAATATTGCAAAATAGGAGAAATCTGACCTGGTTGAGGGGTGATGTGTTTCAATTTGTTGATAGTTTCTTGTGTTCTCAATTGCTCTGAAGAAGCTGCAACTTTGGCAGCGTTAGCGTAGTCACCTTGGTTCAAGTAGTTCTGGAATTGTTGTTGGAACAAGTTTTCTGCTCCAGGGAATCCTCCGCGAGAAGCAAGGGACAATGCCAAGTTGACATCGGACAACTTTTCCAAAACGTATGGAATAATCTTGTCCTTGGAAACTTCCACAGCCAAAACCTGTCCGGATTTATTGATGGTAATAATACCAGTGCTATCGTTGTACGGAGCCGCGGTGAAAACGGGATCGGCTGTGATCCGGTTTACAAACAAGTTGGAGCCGGATTCAATGTCATACAAATGAATGAAACCGTATTTGGTCAAAATGTAAATGATTCCGTACTTGTTGGAAGCCTGCAAACTGATTGGGAAGTCATTGGTAGCATCTGGAGGGAAGAAAATATCAACAGATTTTTTGTGGAAAGGTGGGTTACCATCCACATGGTCGATTTCAATAATGTGCAAGTTTCCTTGGCCCAGTGCAGCTTTGTTTCCGATACAAATACACCTTTTGTTGGGCAGGTGAACACCGCCTTAAAAGTGATCTGGAGCAAACTTTGCAAACATGACCCTCAATATCTTGCGACACAATTTCTAGCTTTGGAGTACAATTGGATATGACCCGCAATGCGGCCATCTTCTTGCGCAATACCTGTAACAGCAAACCAATTTAGGTCTGGCTCCGCCACAAAGTTTATGATTTGACAGTTGTTCAATGAGTGGTGTCTGTCAGTCAACTTGACTGGTCCATTGTTGGTACCGTCAAAGATAGACCAGATGTAAATATCTGTCGCTGTAACAAGACCCAATACATCGTCAGTCAACCACTTCCAAAGAACAACTGGAGACTCGATAGTGTGAGACTTTAATCTTTGCTTGGTGCCCAAGTTGAAAATCTGCAAAGCGGTGCCATTGGCTCTCAATGCAATAACATTCTCCTTAGGGTGCATAATGGCATTGTCTGCCGACATGTTTTTTCTGGTGACTTCGAAGTTGTTGTGCAAATCGACAATGGCCACGGTGTTCCCCTGGGCTCCACTTTCTCTCACACATATGTAGTGGTCAGACTCCAATGTCGTGGACTTAAAATCGAGAGACTGGGGCAGAATGCCCAACTGCGTCAACTCAGACAATTGAGTGAAGTTGATGGGAATATCAGACATTGTTTCTCTCGGCGAAATAAAAAAACTTGAAGAAGTAACAAGGGCCGGAAAAAGCGACTAGTCAATTGATTCCACAACTAGCGGCTGTAAATATGGCAGAAGCAGGAAACGTATTGATGAGTGTTTTCCAGTCTAGCCAGGAGTATTACAATCGAAAGTACTTGGAGAACAGCAAGGTAAGTTAGGGGGATTTTCTATCAATGTGAGTGAGGACGGCGTGTAGTGTTCTCGTTGGCTTATGTAAGCAAACAGCCACGCTAGAGGCGCATGCCGGATATGGGGTACGGATGTTGGGGTAGTTAACCGTGTTCCCCGAATGAATGGAACTAGAGCTTAAAATATCAATGATTGTAAGAATGATGGTTTTCGGAATGCTTCATTGATCCTATTATGAGCATGTGTATATTCTAGCTTCATTTACGCCAGTTTACTTACGAGCTTTTTGGGGAGGCTTATTTAAATAATGCGCATGGTTGTAGTATAAGACGAGGCCAGCTTGTCTCACATAAAGCTCTTTTACCTCACTATATCGGTGGCCGAACTAATTGTAGTACCTCATCTACTATTGCATTCGAGAAGCCGCTCGAGGAATTCCAGTCTAATTTAGACTCGTATCTTTGAAGATATTCCTCCACCAGATTCCACTCGCTGCCGTACCAGTCGCCTGTGAGAATACTGATTTCCATGCGTTTTCTGTATTCTGCACCGTATTCTTTTAACTTAAAAAGACGATTTGTTTCCCAGTCAACGAGCCAGTAGCCGATCTTACGGTATGCCACCTTCACGTAGTCCGGGGTGACAAAGAGAGGACTATCATTGTCCCTATTTTCCCAGATAGCCAAGCATTTTGCAAGCGTCATTATGTCTTCCAATGCGCTGAAAGAAGGTCTTGTTGTGAGCGGAGCCAAAGAACAAAGTCTATGAGACCTTGTAAACACCAACAACGAGCAAATGTACTCTTGGATAGATGGTTTGGCAAACACAGAATCAAGGCGTAATCTGCTTTTTATGATCTCCTCTTTCATTTTGTCGGATGAGAAACTTGTGTCTGCGCCTATGAAACAACTTTGGGAAAACCAGAATCGATTCTTGATATGCTGATATATCTGTGGCAAACGGTGGTTCACATCCAATACTGGTATAACGAGGTGCATTTCTGGTTTAACCACTTGATACTCTCCAAATTTGATGGGGTCCGTTGGTGCTTTGTTTCTCAGAGCAAGATTGTTGTATTGATCTAACTCATCAAAAATCCGAATAACACTTGTTTTGAGGGCCACATCCATGTTTAAAATGTCCAAATTCTTCCATATTACGACCTCGTGAAGCTTGGGGAATTCACCTTCTTCTGTCTTTACCATTCTTCGCGTAACTTGATTGTAAATATCGTCCTGGTATCGTAGGAGGTCGATCTCCACCACATCATGCATCTCGAAATTCTCAATTATTGTTCGTCGTAAATCTTTTATGCAATTTGCAACATCATTGGTGTGGATTGCAATATTCTTTTGTGCTATAAGGCTCAACGAGAGAGCCATTTGCACATTCTTCATTGTCAGAACTGCGTTGTGCTTTCAAGCTTTCAAGGCTTCTATAAAAATAAACCAGTACACCCAAATTGTCAAGATTGATTCACAATTTCAACAAAGTCGCTGTGTTTAGCTGAAATATCTTAAAGTAAATTAAGTGAGAAGCATTACCGATTTATGTAGTTCTAATTCTTAACTTTTTGGTTTTTCGTTGTTGTACCTGTCTTCTTGCCATCTACAGATTTAGTCAGTATTGAAAAGATTTTGCGAAATACAAGTTGTGCTGGAAGTGATAGTACACTGGCTCTAAAAAGGAACAAAAAAAAAAGTACATTCATTTTTTTATTTTTATTTCCGGGGTCCACATATTCCTTTGGCAGGACTACAATCGTTTGTCTTAGCAATATGCTCCTACCACCTGTTGCAGAAGAATAACATGTTCTCTCGTTTTCCTGTTTCTCTGTACAGAAAGAACTTCAAATTGGAAATTGAATACTTGTTGCTCTTGGAATTAAGATTTACTAACTACCAAAGAGTAAAATTCTCGAGATAAATATAAAGATTAAACATTGGAGCCATAAAGATTAAACATACCTATTGGAGCCATAAAAATTCACGTTCAAAAAGGGACTCCGTGGCCAAGCTGGCTAAGGCGTAAGACTGTTAATCTTGAGATCGTGAGTTCGATCCTCACCGGGGTCGCCATTTCTTTTTTTTGGCTATTTTGTTCGGTTCCCTGCTTATGAAACGAATATGATGTCCTGAATTATTTGCCTTCTGAAAAAGATATCTGGCCGCATCTCTCACATTTTAACTGAATTAGATTCTATTAACTAGATTCCTTCGCGCCTACTTAAGGTACTTGAACTTCGTGCAGTACATTACATCTCTCTTTATTCAAGACCAGCTATGGCACCTCCCATCTATGTAAAGGGTGGTGTTTGGACAAATGTGGAAGATCAGATTATTAAGGCGGCAGTATCAAAGTACGGGTTAACACAATGGGCTCGTGTAGCGTCGTTACTACCGAAGAAAACAGCCAAGCAAGCGAAAGCTCGATGGAATGAATACTTGAATCCCCTTATTAACAGAACGGATTGGACAAAAGAAGAAGATGAGAAACTTTTGAGCTTAGCCAAGCTTATGCCTAACCAGTGGAGAAGCATATCTCCTATAATGGGTAGGACAGCCACGCAATGTGTGGAAAGGTATCAAAAACTTTTAGAAGAGGCGGTAAAAGGCGAAGATAGCGATAGAAGCGATGACGAGGATTTGAAACTTACTGGTCCTGGGATCGAGACACTTCCTGCTCTCGGAAATGCCTTTGAAAGTTTACCATCGCGACCGGACTTGGAGGATATGGATGATGATGAGAGGGAAATGCTTTCAGAGGCGAAGGCAAGATTGGCTAATACTCAAGGTAAAAAGGCAAAGCGGAAGGATAGGGAAAGAATGTTGGAAGAAAGCAAACGTATTTCATTGCTTCAGAAGAGACGTGAGCTCAAAGCAGCTGGTATCAAAGTCAGTTTGGAGCTGAAAAATCGAAAGAAAAGACAAGCTTTTGATTACAACGCTGACATCCCTCATGAGCATACACCTCTTCCTGGACTTTTTGATACGACAGAAGAGGAACAAAGGACGGAAAAAGAAGCCTTACTGTTCGAAAAAACAGTTAATATCAAGGGAATGGCTATGTCTGATGTGGAGAAAAGTAACAAACGAAAAGCTGAGGAGTTGGTCAAAAGGGAGTCCAACAAGTCACTTAAAGAGATAAAAGGTGCAGCAGAAGCTTCTACACTAGCCGCTGAAGAGGATTTGAAACGACGAAAGCTCAACATCCCCGCGCCAGGAGAGAAAGAAACGACCAGAAACATAGAGGAGCGCATCAAACTCAAATCGAAAGATATAATTGAACTGCAAAAAACGAATAGTAATATCTTCACATCTCCAGCTGCATCTCATGAAGTACCAAGACAAATTGATTTTGAACCTCACAAAATGACACAAAGAATTCCAAAGAAGAAGCTCGTAGAGCTCATATCCAAATCTCTCGCTAGGTTACCTAAAACCACAAAGAGGGTTCAGTTAGTGTTGCCACAGCTTGATCTGCATGAGGATCTTGTTACTGCAGAACTTGAAGAGGACTCGACCAATAAGGCGGAAGCCCTCAAGCTTCTTCAACGGGTTGAGGAAGAAAAAGCAAAACTCCGTCGTTCTCAAGTAGTGCAAAGAGAATACCATATCCCGAACCCTAAGACGTTGGTCCTTCCTTCCGAGGATGGCCTCTCTGACATTGAAAAGGAAATTGCAACGGAATTTCATGCTGTCATTAAGTCTGACTACAAAGAGTTTGTGGACTCCCTGGCAAGCGGTAACATTGTGCACATTCTAGAGGAAGAAGAGTACAACACGATTAAGGATTTGATTTCAAAGGAGTGCAAGGATCAAGAGCACGTAATGAAACAATTATTGGAACGTTCAACAAATTTGCCTCATACTACAGATGCCATGGATAGGGTCTATGATCTCATCCAAGAATTGTCGAGCCGAGCGGAAGCATATGAATTCCCTATTATGGATTCTTGGAACAGGTATTATGAAGAAGTTCGTTCTCAGATTGAGGGAATCAATGAAAAGTATGAAAACTTGTCTCAGTTAGACATTGAGACACGTTTATACACTTCCATAGCCGATCAAGAGACGGAAGCCATTAAATGGAGAACAGCAAGATTGAAGAAAACAATGGAAGATATCTCTAGAGCTGAGACACGAACTTTGAAAAAAAGAGATAGTCTCTACTAATAATCTTACGACAAATTATTAATGGTTCTTTGCATTCTAGTTACGTTTATCAAGAATAATTTAGGCATCAGATTAGCATATCGCGCACATGACGGTAAACTGTATAACATGGTCCTGCATCACTTACTGATCAGATCTCTAAAGCTTCACTCATTAATATGTTTCCAAACCTATTGTGCATTAAATATCGATTAGTCAATGAAGCCCCAATCAAGGATAGTCTTGCTGATATTATAAGGAAAGATTTTTTCCAACCTGTTTCATCTTTCAAAGACGATCTTGAACGTGTTCAGCTTCTCCAGAATTCCATTGCTCATGCATCAAAATCAGAAGATAGCCCTTTTGAATGGTTACAAAACCGCTTGGAGGAGTATTACTACCTCGTCAAAGATATATTAGTCAAATTCCCTGAGAACTGTGTTACATTTACGTGGTATGATACGCTAGGATATAAACCAAGACAGTGCCCAGCCACTGGTTGGAATAAAGAACAGTCGCAATTGATTTATCAGATGGGATGTCTTTTTTCTCAGAAAGCATGTAATGAAAATTCCTTTACAGATGATGGATTGAAACAAGCATGCTCATACTTCAAGCTTGCTGCTGGTTGTTTTGATGTTCTTGTAAATGAGCAGTCGGATTTGAAGTTCCTCGATGATAACACTCTTCTATGCTTGAGATCACTTATGGTAGCAGAGGCACAGGAGGTAGTTTGGCTGAAAGCAATATCCAATGCAACTATGAAAAACTCAGTGATTGCTCGTCTCTCCATAAAAGTGTCTGAATTATACCAAGTAGCGTTGAAATACGCCGAAAACTCCGATCACATAATTTTAGACTGGATCAATCATTTCAAGGTGAAAATACATCACTTTCAAGCAGCGTCTCACTACAGAATGGCTATTGTGGCACAAGACCATTTTGAGTATGGAGTGCAAGTGGCCCACTTGAAGCATGCCTCCGAATGTTGCACAAAAGCAATACAATTCAAGCGATATGTTAATCAGAATGTCGTTGAAGACTTAGTAGGTTTAATGGATGCAGTCAACACCAGTTATCGCTCTGCTGAAAAAGACAATGATTTGGTTTATTTGAAACCAGTTCCACATTATAACGAACTACCAGAAATTCTAGGGGTGTCTATGGTTAGCATTGAGACACCTACATTTTTGAAAAGCAGGCCCGAAACTTGCAAAGAAGTTTTCAAGACCTTATTACCTTTTCGCGTCATTCAAGTTGCACAGGCTTTTAGAGAGAGACAAGACCAGTTCATCATTGACAAGTTTCAAAAGCCCGTACATGCACTTTCTCAATTACTCAATACATTTTTGACAGAGCGGGACTTGCCTGCTTCAATTGATACCATTCAAAAACCAGAGAATTTGCCAGACTCAATTGTTCATCATGCGCAAGAAATATCCTCTTATGGTGGAATAGAGTTCATTGAACTGTCGATGGACGAAATTTCAAAACTAAGGCAAAACTGTATTGAGTTGGTTGTATCTTGTGAGGAACGACTTCGCATGGAAAAATACGAAGATGATTTGCTAAGGCATAGGGAAGGATCTACCCGCTGGAACCGGCCATCTTCAGATGTTGTGTCATCGGCACTATATTCTAGAATCGATAGAATGAAGGGTTATCTTGAGCAGGGAAAACAAAGTGATAACCTAATCGGTCAAAGGTATTTCTCTATTCAAGATAAACTAAAGGTTTACTGCGAAGGGTATGAGCTGCTTAAACGCAGCATTCCATGCTCGACGCATGTAAAAGTTGATCCCTCCGTTGGTAAGCTATTGTCAGAATTAAGGCAATTGCTCGTTGATGTGGAAAAGATGGAGGCGAACAGGCATAGATTCTTGTCAAGCATTGAAATAAAATCAAGAGAACACGCAATATTACCAGTTATTTTGAATGATTTCAAGAGGAACCCTGGTAAGTTCCAGGACCCCGAAGGAGTAATTGACGCGACTAAATTTGAATTGTTTTACGAACAACATTTAAAGTACTTTAGCAGTGACCTAGAGTACGTGGAGAAACTGAAGAGAAAGCAGATGGAATTGGAAGAAGAAATCCATATAGCCAATGTTAAATTTCTGGAGGCGAAATCAATAAGTTATGACCATTCTCAGAAGTTGAGGCACGATGCCTTACAGGATTTTGAATTTGCATACACACAATTCTTGGAGTTGATTTCGAACTTAAATGATGCTTCGAAATTTTACACTGATTTTATGGATAGAGGAAATATTGTCCTCCGAGAAACGGAAGATTTTCTATATTCGAGGAGGGAAGAAGCTCGCGAACTCGAAATCAGTATCCGCAATCAGGAGAAATTATCCAATATAGAACAGAGTATGGTATCTGGAAATACTCCTATGCACTTGCCTCAGGCCCAAAAAGCCACTAGAACATTACGAAGAGATTGAAATAATTGTGGTGCACATTATAAGTGCGCGACATTTTTGAATAGGTTTATTTCACACTCGATGATCCTACGATATTTACGGTATATGAAAAATTACATCATGACTCAACCGAAAAAGAACGTCATCACCATCGTAGGAACCACCGGTGTCGGGAAGTCGCAAGTATGTTTCTTCTGGTATTTGAATCAAGCATATTTTCTAACGCAAATAGTTTAGTATCGAATTGGCTAAGGCCATCAATGGAGAAGTTATCAACGCAGATTCCATGCAAGTGTACGAAGGCTTGCCGATTATAACCAACAAACATCCTATTTCTGAAAGACAAGGAGTAACACATCATGTTATGAATCATGTTAAGTGGAACGAAGATTATTTCATACACAGATATACACAAGAAGCCAACGCTGCTATTGATAATATACATGCTAAAGGCAAGGTTCCAATAATCATTGGTGGTACTCATTATTATTTACAAAGTTTGCTATTCAGAAATAAAACAGTTGGGGAGAAGGAAGATCCAAAGGCGCTAAGGAAACTTACGAAAGAAGAAGAAGATCTACTCGACGGTCCGGTCGAGCCAATTTTCAATAGGTTGTGCGAGGTTGACCCTATCATAAGTAAAAAGTTCCACCCTCAGGACAAAAGGAAACTCCGGCGTGCACTTGAAATCTACCTCACGTCAGGCATGAAACCAAGTGAATTGTACCGAGAGCAAAAACTCGACGAACTTGAGGACTCATCCTTGAAATACAATACTCTACTCTTCTGGTTGTATTGCGACCCAGAAATCTTGAAAGAACGTCTTGATAAAAGAGTAGACATGATGATGGCTACGGGTGCCCTCGATGAAATCAAAGAAATGGAATCGTATTATCAAAAACAAGACCCTAGACCTGATTGTACCAGAGGAATCTGGCAAGTCATTGGGTTTAAGGAGTTCTTGCCTTGGCTAGAGAATGGTCGATCCGAAGAAAAACTATTTAATGAAGGTGTGGAACGAATGAAAATAAGAACGCGACAATATGCCAAGTACCAAGTTAAATGGATAAAAAAATTATTGGGTGTGGAACTCAATAAAGAGTCTCGCTTTGGTTTCAAGTATGGAGGCAAAATGTATCTTCTCGACGCATCTAATCTTGACAACTGGAACTCATATGTTGGAGAGAGAGGAGTAAAGATCGCCGAACAATTCATTACCAATGGACCCTTAGGTGTATCGGAACCACAAGCTACGGAGAACCTCAAAGAGTTGATACCAACGCCTGATTTCTATGAGAAATTTAATAGCAACAAAACGGTGAATTCTGCGTCTAATTGGAAGCACATGGAGTGCCCTGTTTGTGTTGATGCGGACGGCAAACCGTTTGTCGCAGTAGGGGAAGAAAATTGGAAAATACATGTTAAAAGCAGGCGTCATAAGAAGAAGTTGAACTACAATGAGAAGAAGAGAGTTCATGAAGAACTAATAGCAAAGTACAAAAAGCCTAAGGATGACATTGCATGCGATCAGGAAGCATCATCCTGATGCTGCACATATATAACATGTACATAGTTGTAGATGAATACAGATCACCACAAACTAGTCATCCTCACGCTCATTTGACATAAACGGTTAGTTAGGTTAACAGAATAATATAGTTTTCATACACGAAAATCATGTAAGGCTTCGTTCCTCATGGCCCAATGGTCAAGGCGTCTGGCTACGATTAGTAACCACTTCTGGAACCAGAAGATTCCAGGTTCGACTCCTGGTGGGGAAGCTTTTTTTTCTCAAAACAAGTCGCATTATCATTTTTGTTTCTTGACAATCGCGAGTGATTTTGATAGCATCTGAACTCCAATTCAAGCCCCTTTCTAACCCTTACATGCAATGATCATTTACAGCATATATATACTAAACAAGGCTGGCGGGTTGATCTATCAAAATGATCTAAATCCAGGGCTTTCAAAACTTTCAGCAAATGATTATTTAGTACTAGCTGGAACCTTACATGGGGTCCATGCCATTGCTACTCGATTATGTCCAACGGGCTCGAATTTTACCGGAGAGGAGACTAACGTGAACTCTTCCATAATCAGTACAGGGAAATCTCGACTACCAAACTCTAATCGTCTGGGCTTACAAACTATTGAGACAGATCACTTTAGCCTATATGTTTTTCAGACATTGACGGGAATAAAGTTTATCATTGTCACAAGCCCAGCTCCAATAAAGCCAACTGTGTCTTCAGGACCGGGTCAGAGTGACTTACGGAAACAGTACGACATTGTTAGTGATTATTTCAGGCAGTTTTATACCTTTTACTGCGATTACGTGATGAAGGACCCATTTTACTCATTGGACATGCCAATAAAGAGTACAATGTTTGATAGCAAAGTGAAGGCTTTGGCTAAAGATAAGGCATAAGGATAAGGCATGAGGCAGAAGATGAAGCGATTCGAGAATATCCGTCTCATTAAATCAATGCGCTTCGTTTTGCTTTGAAGACGATCGAAAATTCTAGACAGAAAGGTTAACATGATACCATAATCCATGTTAAGTATACTATAATATCTGCAACTTTGAGAAGACGATGGTGATAGTTACAATGATATAGCAAGCATTAGGTAAGTCGTAGAGTGTCAGCCAAAAGAATCGAAAAAAAAAAATAGAATTGATGGTTTTTTATTTTTCATCAAATAATAAAGACCCTTGATTACAACTTTGCCTTTGAAAATTTCTAATCTTTGTCTTCGACCTACAACAATAGTTGGTGTTGGCCATCTTGAGTAGATTGTGTAAGAGTGTGCACACCTCATCTCCAAATTTTTCATTATCTAACTACATGTCTGTCCCCGAAAAAGAGACAAAGCCTCCCTTGGATACTAGAATCGGAAAGGATTCGCCTTTCACATTTGGTCAGCGGTATCTTACCGAAGAAAAGAATGTTTTTGATCACAATGCATGGGATCATGTTGAGTGGGGGGAGGAACAAATTCAACAAGCCCAAGAGCTTATATCAAAACAATACGACCTGCCTGTGAAGGACTTCGACAAAAAATTGTATAATTCTAATCCAGCAAAATACTGGGATATCTTTTACAAGAACAATAGAGAGAATTTTTTCAAAGATAGAAAGTGGCTCCAGATTGAATTTCCATCGTTATACAAAGTCACTGGAGAAGATTACAATAAGCCGGTTACCATCTTGGAAGTTGGATGTGGTGCAGGCAACACATTCTATCCTATTTTGAACCAGAACAAGAATCCTGGATTGAAGATTGTCGGGTGTGACTATTCAAAAGTTGCAGTTGATTTAGTCAAGAATAATGAAGCCTTTAATGAACACCACGAAAAGGGGATCGCATATTCCTCAGTTTGGGATTTAGCCAACCCAGAGGGAACTCTTCCAGAAGATTTGGAGGAAAATTCTGTGGACATTGTCATCATGGTTTTTGTGTTTTCCGCTTTGCACCCAGATCAATGGAAACATGCCGTTAACAATTTACAAAAGGTTCTAAAACCGGGAGGAGAGATTCTATTCAGGGACTATGGTCGTTATGATTTGGCACAAGTGAGATTCAAAAAGGGCCGTTTGCTCGACGACAACTTTTACATTCGTGGTGATGGTACTAGGGTGTACTTTTTCACCGAAGAAGAGTTGAGAGAAATATTTTGCACCAACGGGCCATTCGAGGAAGAGAGAATTGGCACAGATAGACGTTTGCTTGTGAACAGAAAGAAACAGCTCAAAATGTATAGAATCTGGCTTCAAGCAGCTTTCCGCAAGCCATGAAATTATCATGCAATAAGGATCAAGAAACGAGGACGACGATGTACAAGAAATTATCTAAGTGACGGAATGTTTGCCATACGTCAAGAATTGGCTGGTCGAACAACAAATCCACATTAATACCATGAATATAGGCAACCCCAATCGAAGTCTTCACGAAAGCACTCGGCAAACACGACATTAGGGCAGATCCTAGAGTTCTCGGATGGCCATCCTCTGATACTGTAATGGGCACCTGAATCAAAGTGCTAGAACCAGCTACGTATACCCTGATGGGGATTTTCTGAAACGGAGAACCGCGAGTGATTTTAGCCACAACATTGTGGTAAATGCTATAATCGTGGGTTTGTATGGAGTTCCACAATGCCTTCGTATCGTCTTCACTGAGATTGATCATGGCACGCGAGTTCCCATTGATGGCATAACAAGACTGTTTAAGACTGTGTAATATAGTTTGGCTCAAAGTTTTTTCGTAGGTTGGTAAACCTTGGCTGATCCTAAATGGGATGATTGAGTCATCTGGATACTTCAAATTGACGGTCTGCGTTTTGAGTTCTAAAACCCAGGGGCCACGCGGTTCCTTATGACCGGGGAGAAAGAACAAGTCATAAAGAACGCCAATAGGAAGATTCCATTTTAAAGGCACGTCTTCGTACTCCAACCACACAGGAGCAGCTGTGATATCATTTCCAGTGAGATCAGAGAAGAATGCGGAGATTTCGGAATAGAAAAGCGGGAAGTATGCGAGCCTGTACGCCAGTAGTAAATAGTGTGAACCATTAAATTCCACTCGGATGTTTACGGCACCATTCCACACCTTATCTTTGACTATGTCCATGGTTTAAGGAGATCAATCTCAGACTGAGTTGGAGAGGTGTCTGGGCCAGCGACCTGCATATGATACACCAAGGGCTGGGGATCGGAATCCGATTTCACTTAGCGAACCAGGATAGCTATTATTAGCCACATCTGATGCAAGTGACGGATCTCCACTTGCATGAGTTGCCTTGATGTGTGACCAAAAGAGAAGAAGCTTGACAATGTATGCATCACCCGCATACTTTCGCTTGTCGTATTTCCCCATCTGGCGCGCGCACCAGCATCTCCGCATCTACCTTGATCCAAGTATGAAAAATAATTTGTATGAAAGATTCAATAAAGACTAAGCATTCCCGACAATTGGTTAGTAACCCACTTTTCCCGTCTTTCGGTGGCTTCTTCTATATCGGTTTATTTTCTGTTTTCTTCCACCATGGCTCCACATTCCCAACCTTTACCCAAAGTGCGCAAATCATACATCGATCTCCAACCTCCAGTCCGACCCGCAGAAAAGATTGGATCTCGATATTGCTTCTGCCATTCGGGCCTTTCTGCCCAGCACCCACAATGTTGAAGATTTACCCTCTTTACCTGCAATCAACATGAAAACCAGACGTTTTCGTAGGAGTGAAGGTCGCAGGCTGATTAGCTCACCTGCATTTTTGCAGTCAAAAGGTGCCATGGGTCTGACAACCACATTTTCAGCTAGTGGGTCAAACAGTACCGCCATGGGTGCCCAAGTTCTGAGCATGGTTCCGTCTCTTCACCGCAGCTCGTGTGCTGAATCTACCAGCGCAGCATCAGACTCTTCTCTGCACTTGAGTCTCCACAGCCACCTGAGTTCTAACGGTACGAAACTGTCATATCGGGAGCCGCCACTTGAAAAGGCTGCTCCAAATAGCTCTAGCGTCACCATTTTTGACTCCTCGTTCAACATTTCTGCCCCATCACTTGCATCAACGGCTTCTGGCTGCAGACGAGTCAGTCCCCTTGATGATCTGAGATTGATGAACCCTAGTGCATGCGACCAGATATTGAGTCTTTACTTGAAAGATTCAAGTCAGTCGTCAGCTTCATCGGTTTACTCGTCGGTTTCTCCATCAGAGGCTTCGTCGAATGCACTTAATGATGTGTTTGAGGAGGTCTTACATGCATATGATTCAGTTGAAGACTTTTCCCAATACGATAGTCTTTTCGATGATGAGAAACACTCAGCATATAATGCGCCTATTAAAAGTGATTCCAGCTCAAAAGACCATGCTAATGAAATTCCCTCTGTTCCAAAGGAATCTTCAGCTGAGGCAAATTCTATTGCTAGAAAAGTGGAAGTTGCACAAGAATTTGCTACCAAAGACAAAACGTCTGTTCCAGAACTACCGGTTTGCCCAAAACCAGGTCATTCTGACCGCCCAAGTAGTGTGTTTTATCCCCCATCGGCTACTTTAAGGCAAAGAGTACTTTCCCTCAATGGTGCTTATGATTATAGTCTTGATATGTGTGCTGATTATGACAAGTCCCGCTTCATGATACCCGAAGAAGACAGAATACACCCCATAGGAGCTCGGTCGCGTCATTCGCATTACCTAGAAAAGAGTTTGTGGGTTCAGCCAAGAAAGCCAGAAGTTGCACCAAGTCATGCTTCGCGACGTTTCTCATCTGGCCCTCTTCTCAAGGTAAAGAGACTCTTTAGTGCGCACTAAACAAGTACCAGTTTATTAGGTAGAATATTTCCCAACTCAAAGCTTAACTACAAGCTCATCCTCTTTGTATTTCGCAATCAAATCAACAATATCATATTTTGACGCAACATTGTCGTTGATAAATCTTCCGCCCAAGTAATGAGGCTTGCCTTGTTTCGCAAACTTAAGCGCACAAGGCTTAGGAGCAGTCAAGCTAACTAACATGGAAGCCTTGATGTCAGTATCAAGAGGTCCTTCATCAACATCCCATCCTGAAGGTATGTCAATCGAGACAACAGGTGCTATTTCACTTGAATGGGACAGTAAGTATGAAATCAAATCGTCAAAGGGTTCACGTATTGGTGGCTTGAATGAAAAGCCGAAGAGAGCGTCAATTATCACGCTCACAGAACTTCCTTGGAGCAAGTTCTTAACCTCTTCCAAGGTGCTGATTTCCTGAACGCCCAAATCATTCAATTGTTTCATCAAGTTGATGTAAAGATCCTTTTTAGGTCTCTTGGGGTAGAAGATTACTGGCTCGTATGATCTCCACAATTTCAAGTGGCGTGCACAAACTAAGCCGTCTCCTCCATTGTTTCCTGGTCCAACAAGCACTAATACTTTAGACTTGGAATTTTGTGGTGGGTACTGCTTGTAAATGCTTTTAGCGACGGCAAGTCCGGCCAACTCCATAAGCTGATCGATTGAGAAGCTTCCCGTCGACATGAGCTCTTGGTCAAGCTGGGCTGCTGCTTTGGATGAGAGAGTCTTAAACATATTCGGTGATTTATCTCTTGAAAGGATTGTTATTTGTAAGTCAAAGATGTTCTTGAAAGCAAACTAGACACTTGCAATCGTAAGACCTTTCGTATGCACACCGAGATTCAAGAATCTACGCTATGTGGGGTTATTCAGCGCACTTATGAGCGATCAAAAAATAAAGAGAGCAACATGAAGTAAGCAAATAAAAATGAAAATGAAAATGAAATGAAAATAGAAAAAGGTTTAGCAAGTTCAATGTTCTGTAATTCAAAGCAAATCGCTAACCTCTCGATATCTAGTTACAGAGGCACTGGTTTCACAATTTACATAAAGTGATTTCTTCTTTGTAATATCCTAGTCAGAATGAAACTATAGCCCCTGATAAGTAGCATCTACTTTAATTGAACCTGGTGCACAAAGGAGAAAATCACGTGTACCGATCCGTTAGTTCGTTCTGGTTTCTTTTCCTTGCGCGATTGTATTTCCTAGTCTATTTAAGCTTTCTCGGCCAAACGAAGCGCGCACTACTGCATAGAGAATCTACATACCAGGTTGATCCACAGATTCGGTGAGAAAAAAAGACAGCGTAATCAAACAAACAATCAACAGTTCGGTGACCAGGCGTGAAATTGGCTAAAAAATTTTGCACCATGAGTACCTCATATCACACAGATTACAGCTTTGATCTGCCTTCCACTATGAGCGACTCACCTATGATCAACTACAGAAAGGATTCCAAAAAAGCTATTAAGTTCACATTCATGGTGGCTGGTGAACTGGGAACCGGTAAATCGACATTCATTAATTGCTTGTTGGACAGAAAAGTGATGACTCATACATATGAAGGCGTGGAGAAGAATAGCTCGACTAAGACGTTAACCTTCACCCTGGCCCAAAACGTGGCCTTGCCAAATACTTCTATTTTAGCCAGAAACGAATTTGATGCTTTCAGTGCACATGAGGAACCCGGCATCGCTATAACGGAAACCAAGGTCGAATTATTGGATGACGATAATGTGAGGTTACAGTTGAACATAATTGACACTCCCGGTTTTGGAGACAACTTGGACAATGAACTTTGTTTTGTTGAAATTGAAAACTATCTAAAGCAGCAATTCGACTTGGTTTTGGCCGAAGAGACGAGAATTAGAAGAAATCCTCGGTTTATAGACACAAGAGTTCATGTTTTGATCTATTTCATCACACCTACCGGCCACGGCTTGAGAGAATTGGACATTACATGCATGAAGCGCTTGTCAAAGTACGTCAACATCATTCCTGTCATTGGCAGAGCAGACTCATTTACCGAAAGTGAACTCAGGCACTATAAGGAACAAATCAGACTTGACATCGAGCGCTTTAATGTGCCCGTTTTTCAATTTGACAACGCTATGGATGAGTATGATGAGGATGAGGATTATGATTTGATCCAGGAATGTAAGTACTTGGCTTCTTTGCAACCATTTGCTATAATATCCTCGGAACAAGACTATGAGATCAAGGATACCAATACTGGTGAAACTAAAACTAATCAAAGCAAGGCAGTATCCTTGGGGATTGGTGGATATCAATAATCCAAGATACAGCGACTTCCCTATTTTGAAGTCTGTGCTCTTAGGTTCATCATTTACAAGACTTGAAAGAACTTGACACATACCTTCTAGTTTGAAACCTACCAGAACTAAAGAGGTAGACTAAAAGTCACAGGAAAGGGTGAGGGATGATATACCTTCCAAGACAGCCATGGATGACCCAATCAAATCTGAACTCTGCTATTCCATCATTGTACCAACTTGGCACAATTGGCTGTAGGGAAACGATACTACCCGCTTTATGGGCAAGGAAGATTCTGATGATGCCACTTCGCTTGCTTCTGGGCATTCGAAGAAGCCCAAATCCATGTTATTGGACGAGGCTTCGTATACTGCTTCCCCCAAAGTCGATGCTGGGCCTTCCTTTATTTCGTCGTCATCGACTATTTCAGAGACTCGCTCCAATTATTCATCTCATGATGACTTTGCCTCAGAGCGGGAGAATCTAGACAAGACGTCACAGGCATTCAAGAGAATGTCTATTGCTCCGCAACGCAGTCAATTGAGGCAAATCTCTGAAACTGTGCCGTATGTTATTAGGCATGAGCGTATTTTAGAGAGACAACAAAAACTCGAGGAGATGGAGGTTGCCAGTGCGAAAGAATTATCTAATCGTGCTGCCATGTTAGAAAAGAAAGCAGCTGAGCTTAAGGCTAAAGAAAAAATGCTTTTGAAGAAATTGGAAGAATTTAAAAGACAAGAGGCCGAGAAGAAAGCGCAGGAGGCTCAACTGGAGACTCACAGCCACCAAGACAACGAAGGTGAAATTGAAGAACTTAGTGAAGTTGATAACGAGTCTTCAGGAAACTACACCATGCATAAGGACGAAACAATTACTGATTTACATTCAATAGTGAGTAAGCAGTAAAAATGGGATGGCGGGCAACAGAATGTACGGGCCGAAAAAAAGAAAGCAAGTGAGCAAGTACCGAAACCTCACGTAAACTTCTCAAAGAGAACATCCCTCCAGAGCGATGAAAGCGCAGTTTCCACAAAACAATAATTTAAATTATAAATGGGCTATTTAAGGACAATTGTAGAAAAGAAGTTAAATTTAGCTACCTGATCATGGACCGGGGCAGTGTGAAGTAAAAGCGGCCCCATATATCCTTATTGGTACACGCACGATTAATACAAAAAAATCTGATTTCATGATCAACGTCTGTCCTTGCACTGTTACTAAAACCTTAAGAAACAGAGTCATTCACGTTGAAAACATCCCTTTTTTTGTGTTTAATTAAGACTGTGAACCTCTTTTTTTGCTTGATTGCCTTCTCCAATCACTATTGATCCATATACACTGCTTTATAAGTGCATCAACATCATTACAGAAGCGCAATGAATATCGCCGGTCTTTTGGAATCTGCATTATTTGCCACAGATGCGGCAGCTAGAAATGAAGCCGAGAGTCAATTGTCTCAGCTTGCAACCAACCAATTCAATGAATACATGTTGTATTTGGCTGATGTGTTGGTTAGTCAAGAAAAGCCAGAAATTAGAATGTTGGCGGCACTTGGTTTGAAAAACCAGTTGACTTCGAAAGACAGTAGAGTTAAAGCAGAGCAACAAGCGAGATGGATTGCCATGAATCCCGAGTCGAAACAGAAGATCAAAGAGATTTCCATGTCTGTTTTGTTGAGCAATGATGACAAAATGACCTCGTCCATTCCTCAGCTAGTGTCTACGATTGCCACGATAGAGTTACCGAGAGATGAGTGGCCAGACTTAATCTCTAACAATTATTGAGAATACAAAAACGGAGAAGCCAACACAGGTGAAACGTTTCTTGTTTATTGACGATTGGTTATATTTGTGAAGGTGCTGATGCGAATGATCCTCGTATTATTGCTC